TGTGTGTATGTTCTTGTATATGTATCATTAATCTGCTTTTATTACAAATTGTACATATTGTATGTGGAGTAGGTGCTCATAAGTTCTTTGAACTTCAACCTACTCCTTTTGAGCAGCAAACATGTCAGTAATATCCTTTGTTGTTGTTGTATAAATGTATTGTTGCTCAAATAAACCAAATAAATAAATCTTTTTTCGGCTGTTGCCATTTCTGCCCTCACGATTGTGTGTGATCTCCCGCTAACGACCCCCCACCCGGTTATAACGAGAGCTCGCCCACCACAGCAGAGCCTCCACGCGGCGCACGGAGCAGAGGATTCACCACTTTCATTCACAATACAACATTTAATCCACGTTTACATAACCGTGTGCTTTCTTCGCCTGCGTGCTCGTAATCCTCCAACCGGCTTCAATTTACTATGCATGAGGATAAAGGGCACAACGCACGCTCTGTGGCCTGGGCGACTCCACGCTGTCTGCAAGTGTTAGTTTGGTGTGCGTGGTAACAAATGTGGTGGAAAATACAATAGCAGAGGGAGAACGGGCAGGTGCTGTGGAGGATCAGGCCGGGCTAATCTCAGGATACAGGAGATGGGGGATTTGAACCACCAACCCACGCACTGTGCTAAATGAGCAATGACTGAAGCAAATGGGCTGGTGTTATTCAAAGGGCACAAAAGGAGGAGGAACTTATCTAAAGCATCATAGAATAAAAATAACAACAAGCACAGACAAAAGAACAGTTACAAAAGGATCACTTTAGTCTGAAGCTTGAAGAGAAATAGTTCAATTACAACGTTTGACATGAATAAAAGATTACATTACTTTTTCTTCTGCTATATCTGTTGTCGAGGACCCCATCCACTCACATGCTCTGGGTCTCCTCCAAGAGGCGCCCAGACCCCAAGACACCTTACCTGGTGTCAGTGGCTCTTCTCCGAGCTCCTCACCCTATCGCTGAGGGAGCGTGGTGAACGTCTCAAGACCGAAACATAGCATTTTCCATTAAACATATTGTTTGCGAGGACAGTGTGCGGGAACCATTATTTCTTCTACTCCTCACAAGTTTTAAAATACATTTTAAAAAGAAAATGTTTATCATGTCAAACCATTCCTCTGTTTATAGTTTTTAATAATCTGTGAATTTATTCCAAAAGGAGCATAAACCCGGACAATTAGAGTATTGTTCAACTGTCCATTTACTTTTGGTAAATCCGCAAAAAACGTGAAACTAAAAGAACGACAGACTTGTTACACATAATGTTAATAATTGGATCACAGCTGTAAAAATCCAAATAAAACATCTAAACAACAAAAACACCAAAGGCATGAGTCTGAAGCATGTTGGAATCATATTTAAGTTGAATTACACTGTTCCAATGTGTTATAATAAAACCCAGGAGCTCAGAATGGATCCTTGGGGTCATGGACTCAGTTTGTTTGATTCGCAGACATTACAGAACGGTGTTAGAAAAGATGACGAGTCAATGATTTTATTGAATATTGAAGTGTGTTTTATTTTAATAGGTTTTGTAGAGTAAACATATCTCTTGCAGCTACCTCGGAGATCCACCATAATTTTCAATCTTGATTTGATTAAAAACATAAAATGTAATTAGCCACAGAACACATTTAATTAAATATCACTGATTTGGAGAAGGCACTATACTTTCTCAAAGTGTGTGGATAATTAGCAGCACTGTCATCCCCGTCACTGTTCTGCTAACCTGCCTTTAATTAAACACTGTCCATTGTAATTAACATGAACAGTTCTATAAGCTGAAGCTGGCACATCGCAGAAGTCACTGAGGAAAAGGAGGCACGATGCTGGAAATGTTATTAGACTCTAATGGTGCTTTCAGACCACAAACGCTCAAACGCTGAAGCCTCGCTCACCAGACGCGCATTCTCTAGTTTTCAGACGCAGGGGTCTTCACACCAGAACGTCCTGGCCAGCGCCGGAAGTGGCGGAAGTAGCCGGCCAGCTCTGATGCTAACAGAGTTATGCTAGCGGCTTCTTGTGTGAAGATCTTCTCCAATAATGCAGCTTTGCAGCGTGTCTGTGTTCAGAGACCTTCCACGGACTTTATACAACACAAGCACACAGTCCCCCATTGTCATCCCTGGTTTTAAGTCGTGGTGTAGCTCCTGTTTTGGCTGTTTACAGTATGTTTAGTCTGCTGAAGTGGTCTCGCTCAGACCACTAATGTCCCCGTGACCACTTTGCGGCTCTCTGATTGGTCGCTGCACAAACGTCCCGAGGAAAGGTTGAGCAAAGTTTATCTCCTGTGGGCGTCCATTTTCCGCTCCTCCTCCTCCCCTTCGACATTCCCGCGCAGTTTTTACGCTCAAACGCGAGTCACCATAGACTTTGCATTGAAAGCCGGGGCAACGCATGAACCGGTCTGAAAGCACCATAAGGGCTGGGTAACATTTGAGGGACACGTTGGGATATACTGCAGGACCAGTTTTCACCAGTGAACCTCCAGGAAAGGACATCGAGAGAGTGGACTCTTACAAGTACCCGGGTGTTCATCTGAACCACAAACTGGACTGGACTCATAACACAGACGCCCTCTTCAAGAAGGGCCAGAGCCGGCTCTACCTGCTGAGGAGACTCAGGTCTTTTGGAGTGCAGGGGCCACTCCTGAAGACCTTCTATGACTCTGTGGTGGCATCAGCCTCTTGTACGGTGTGGTCTGCTGGAACAGCAGCATCACAGAGAGGGAAGAAGCTGGAACATCAGGAAGTCCAGCTCAGTCCTGGGCTGTTCCCTGGACACAGTGCAGCAGGTGGGGGACAGGAGGGTCCTGAGAAAACTAACATCTATGCTGGACCATGACTGTCACCCCCTGCAGGACACTCTCTCTGCTCTGGAGAGCAGCTTCAGTGACAGACTAATTCACCCTCGATGTGTGAAGGAGAGGTTCCGTAGGTCTTTCCTTCCTGCTGCTGTCAGACTGTACAACAAACAAAAAGGACTAATGAACACTGCCAACTTGATCCCACTTGTCATGCTTCGTTGCAATATCCTTTACTTATCAGTGGACGATTTTGCAGCCGTTAAATACATTTTGAATCTTTTTCCAGTGCATACATAATACTTTGAAAGAAATGCAACATTGAACCAAATCCCCCTGTGTGTGTAACCGTGCTGAGCTCCAGGCTCCGTGGGCCGCTGACAGGCATTCCCTGCAGAGTGTGCTGCCTCCCCCACGGCCTCCTCCCCTCGGGACAGGCACACACCTCCCTCGGGACAGGCACACACCTCAGCATTGGACGGGTGGCACAATCAATTATATATGGCATTTTTTTAGACACAAAGACACTCCGTACACGCTGGTGTACGGAGTGTACATCGACAAGAGTTTTTCCTTGTCGATGCAGGAGGGTCTTGTTGGACAGTTAGTGTCCAACAGAAAGGATTGGTGATGATCAGGACACTTTAGCATTCTACAACATGTATGGACATTTTCTTCTGTGTGTGCTTTATACTGTATTCTTCATGTGTTTTAACTGTTGATTCTCTGACCTGTGTTGGTGATTTCAATGGTTTTGTTAAGTCCTCTGAGATGACTTCTGTTGTGACCTAGGGCTATACAAGAATAAATTGTATTGTATTGTATTGTATTGGTGATGAACTACAACTGTAGCCACAGCTGCCCTAGGGCACACTGGCGGAAGCGAAGCAACCAGTCTGGGCCAGCAGCCGCTCCAACCACCATCAACCATTTGATACTATTTAAAAACTGAGTCACGGCAAGATCTGGCTTTAACATGCATTTTCATTTGGAAGAAGATTATATTATATTTAATTGAATTGGCACATTTCACAGGAAACGGCAACTCAACGAGCTTTTCATGGAACTGTGAACCATCGAAACTACGATATAAAATCAAGAATAATACCAGTTCAAGTTAATATTTTAAATCATTTTACAGGATCTTTGGAATTGCCTGTGTGCAGAGCGGAAGAGTCCCAAACGTCGGCCTACAGTCCATTAGAAGAGCAGGACAAAACCAGGCCATCAGAAATCATCACCGGCCATTACCCTGCTAATCAGCAGCTTTCCCATGGTGCAACACTGCAGCCAGCACTCAGCAGAGGTCATCTCCAGCAGACTGAAACACGAGTGCACATTCACTCATTTACAGACTGTTGTAAACCCAATTTAAAACATTAAAAGGAGACATGACCTAAAACATTGTCCAGGGGGTGGGGCTAAAGAGAAGGAGGAGGAGCTATGCCACTTGTTTCCTGTATAACATTGTTTTAGCTAAATAAATGATAGGACCCATATATTTAATAAAAAGTCTCTGGTGACTTGTGTTAATTGTTAATATAACGTTAAACCAATAAAAGCTGTGACAGAGGCCAAAGAAATACATTCATGTGAAAACTAGTGATAACCGTTTCTTTTCTGTACCGTCTTTCTGTTCATGAAGTAGATTCCTCGCTGACGCCGCAGGGTCTAAGGATATTTATGGACCTTGGTCATCTGCCCCCGATGGACCAATGCCTCCTATGTGTTTGATACATATCCTGTGCTGGCAAATGGACAACTTTGTAAAGACATCTTTGGTAAATTTGGGCTGTACAAAAATAAATTGAATTGAAAGTTTTTCAAAGCAATGAACAAGTTACAAGAATAATGCTCAGCTGTAATTAAAAAATGTGACAGAGGCAAAAAATACAAACAAACTGTTATGAGAGCAAGAAACTAGGTACATAACTCACTTGGTTTTCGGCACGACCAATCAAACTGCATCTCAACATTTTCATAAAGGCCTATCATAAATTTAAAAAAAACGGTTCAAATAAACAAAACAAAAACATAAAACAGATGAGTTGAGTGAAGGGATTGGAGGAGCACTGCACTGGATCAAACGATAGTAAAAACACTCGCGGGTTAGAGAAAACTGTTGGCAATGAAAGAAATGGAGAAGGAGGCACTCTGAAAACTGTGTTATTTAGAATTAAGAACTGACAAAAACCTTCATCAGGCCAGAGAGTCTTCGTCACTGCACTCTCTGCCCTGACGAAGACTTTTGTCACAATTTTACACAGTTTTCAGAGCGCCTCCTTCTCCATTTCTTTCATAAAAACAAATTATGTGTGTTATTAGAGTCTTACATCTTTAAAAATAATACACTGCATTCTTCAATGAGTGAACATTAAGTCAATGGACTGCAGCCGTTTTTGATGATTTCACTGACATTCAAGACCCACAGAATATTGCGCACTATGACTGTGTGAAATATAAAACTAGATTCTGAAAGATTGGACCGTTTACTTTCATCAGAAAAAACATGTTGGTTTTTAGCTAGTTTTGTTCTCCTGAAAGACCCAGTCCAATAGAGGGAAGTTTGACAGAAATCACCGGTCTCAGACAAATACGTCAATGGCGGTCTATGAGTTAAAGGGCTGAATAAAGCTCCATAAGCTCCCGACTTCTCCCGCTACGATCAGCCTCAGGGTCACATACTGTACCTGTGCTCATCAACATTACTAATTTAATACTCCTGCATTTAAACATTTTATTTTATCATATATAACTCTAATGCAGGTTTTGTTTGGAGTTGTTCCAGCTTGAACATACACATAACTGATTTGGAAAACAACTCTTACAATCCCCTACACAGCTTTCCATTGATGGGATTTATTTTCCCCGTTGTTTCTTTTGTTTACCACCGATAAAAGAAGTTACTTGATTATGTGCACGTTCACAGTAAGGTTTTAAATTGGTTTATGCTTTGCTTATTGTTTGCTGCTCCGGCTCATTTGCATAATTACAGCAACACTTTGTACAATAGGAAATATCACTGCTAATCACTCCAAATGCTTAAATACACATTGGATTAATCCTATTGTGTACATGTACTCGACACGTAAAACATAGATTATGTTTATTAGAAAAAACACCATATACTTTTTATTTTGTTTTTCATTTTACAATTCACTTTATTAAAGTAGCAATATGTGAGATTTTCATGTCAAGTCATCATGAAAGGCCATAATCTGTCCAAAGGCATTAACAAAACATGCTCTTTTCCAATACTTCTTTAACTGATTACAGTAGTTCTGTCATACCCTGGCCTTAGCCATCCGTACACTCCGCTCAATCATCATTTCACTGCATGTAACGGTCTGGGTCTGGTTCCTGTGTCAGCGAATACAATCGGTCGTATTTCGACCGGCTACTCAGAGAGCGCGGAAGGCGGGCGTTGTAGGTTGGTGCCGGTGACGTCAAGTGTTTGCGCCGAACGGGCAGGTTGTAGTTTGGCAATGGCGAAGAATGCGATAGTAAAGTAATCCGGTCTGGTTCTATCAAGAAATTGAAGCCGGAGCAAGAGGAATATTTAGCAAATGTAATCGCTGGAAAAGATTGTGGCGCTACTCCCCATGGGCTCCGTTAGCGGCAAAGAAGATGGCTAGGCTAAATGCTAAATGCTAACAACACACTCGGGCGCATTACATACGTCACAGTAAACTCAGATCCAATGGTTTCAATCTGCAAAAGGAGTTAACCCCTCCCACCTGTTCACGGAGCTCAATGGAGCAAATCCAGACCTTAGTATGAAATGTAATTTGTACTATGGTGTGGTACGACCAGGCTAGTTCAGTCATGGTGTGGGTTTTATTCTTGTATTTTGGTTTTATTTTGATAACAGTTCCCTGTGCTTTGGTTTTAGTTTTACTTCCTGTGTTGTTCCCCTGTGTTGATGGTCGGCCCCGCCCTGATGTGTCTCACCTGTGTGTATATGTACCTGTGCTCCTCTCCTCTTGTTGCTGGTCCAATGTATTGTCAACCTCCGTCCTGTATTGTCTATGTCTGTTCCTGGTTATGTGCTCCATGTGCCTTTGGATTTTGAGTTTGTTTGTTTTCTCCCGCACTTTTGTTTTTTTATTTTTGGCATCTCCTCTCCACGTGACAAGTTCAGAGATATTTAATCAGATGGTCTGTGATCCGGGCGCCAGAACTCACCATATCGAGCTATGATTCTCAAATCCATCCATCCATTTTCTTCCCCTTATTGACAAAACAAGGAGAAACCTATCTTTGTGAAAAGGTGTTGGTTATAGATTTGTTGTTGGCAAAAGTCTTTATTCAGATATTCACATCTAAAGTCTGATGTGGTTGGGAGCAGGTCTAACGATCCTAGCTCATTAGCATGTCACAGACCTATAGGGCTAACGATCCTAGCTCATTAGCATGTCACTGACCTCTAGGGCTAACGATCCCAGCTCATTAGCATGTCACAGACCTATCTATAGTTAGGGCATTATTTTTAGGACGTCGTCATAGAAACGAGGCACAACAAATCTTAACCCTCCTCCTCTGTTCAGAGAAGGTTTGTGTTTCACAAAAATGGCTTCTTTCACTCCTCTCTCAAACCAATTTTTCTCCTGAGCCAGAATTGTAACTTCTGTGTCGTTCACGGTGTGGTTCATGGTGTCGTTCACGGTGTGGTTCATGGTGTGGTTCATGGTGTGGTTCATGGTGTGGTTCATGGTGTCGTTCACGGTGTGGTTCACGGTGTGGTTCACGGTGTGGTTCATGGTGTGGTTTATGGTGTGGTTCACGGTGTGGTTCATGGTGTGGTTCACGGTGTGGTTCACGGTGTGGTTCACGGTGTGGTTCACGGTGTGGTTCACGGTGTGGTTCACGGTGTGGTTCATGGTGTGGTTCATGGTGTGGTTCATGGTGTGGTTCACGGTGTGGTTCACGGTGTGGTTCACGGTGTGGTTCACGGTGTGGTTCACGGTGTCGTTCACGGTGTGGTTCATGGTGTCGTTCACGGTGTGGTTCACGGTGTGGTTCACGGTGTGGTTCACGGTGTGGTTCACGGTGTGGTTCACGGTGTGGTTCACGGTGTGGTTCACGGTGTGGTTCACGGTGTGGTTCACGGTGTGGTTCACGGTGTGGTTCATGGTGTGGTTCATGGTGTGGTTCACGGTGTGGTTCACGGTGTGGTTCACGGTGTGGTTCATGGTGTCGTTCATGGTGTGGTTCATGGTGTCGTTCATGGTGTGGTTTATGGTGTGGTTCACGGTGTGGTTCACGGTGTGGTTCATGGTGTCGTTCATGGTGTGGTTCATGGTGTCGTTCATGGTGTCGTTCATGGTGTCTAGAGTTTTCTCTCTGATGTTGGTAACGTCGTTTTTGTCGTTTGTTTTGTTTCTCTAACATAGCGGTCAGTGCACTTTGTTTTTATCTTTGGGACGCACCAATTTCTGTCTTTACGTGCTGAAAGGTTTGAAATACCTTGTGTGTTGCCTAAAGATTCTGTGTAGTTACTCGGAAACTCCCGCCACATATGGTAAGCCCCCCCCCTTCCTACTTTCTTCCGTTTTTTGGTCTGTTTTTCTGACCTTTTTTGTCCTTTGGACTTTAGTAAAAGTGCTCTCTGAACATGTTTGGTTTCTCTGTCCGTTCCCTCTGAAGGGGACCTGGGCTCGGTGTTGGAGCGTTCTGATGACCCTAAGTTTATATTCTAGTGGATGATCTGAATCACAGGCCATGTGCATGTCAGTGTGAGTGGACTCTCTGAAGACCTCTGTCTGTAATTGTTTGTTCTCCAGTATGATGAGCTTTCAGTCTAGAAATACAAGTTCACTCTCCTTAACATTCTAACGAGTGAATTTTATGAAAGGGTCCACAGAGTTAATGTGTTCTGAAAATGGTTCCACTTCCTTTTTTTGTATCGTCTACATATGGAAACCAATGGCCTGGCACTGTCCCTTGGTAAGAGGCCAGGTCCATATACAGATACTATAGGAGAGATTGGGGAGCCCATTGCACAGCCATGAATCTGTCAAAAGGAAGTGCATCTAAATTGGAAATATGTGGTGTTGAGACACACTTCGAGTATTTCAACAAACATATAACAAACAGGTTTGATATCTCTGCATTCACACTTCAACATTTGGGAGTTCAGGTGGTTAGAAATCTGTACAAAGTGTGTGGTGAGGGGGTCACTGCCTTAAAACATTTCGCATAATTGCAGGTTATTTTTTAGAACGTAATCCCTGCGATGAACAAGGGACCACTACATACTATTTTCCAGATCTATTTCACTTTGTTGACCTACACGGCACGGACACACAATACGTCTATTTCCATTTTTTCACATAAAAGATATGGTAAATAATGTACAGTGTAGGCTGAGTGGTTAGCACTCTCGCGTCACAGCGAGCAGGTCCTGGGTTCGATTTCACCCCCAGACAGGGCCTCTCTGAAATGCATGTGTCTGCTCCGGTTTCCTACAGGTGCTCCGGTTTCCTACAGGTGCTCCGGTTACCTACAGGTGCTCCGGTTTCCTACAGGTGCTCAGGTGCTCCGGTTACCTGCAGGTGCTCCGGTTTCCTACAGGTGCTCCGGTTTCCTACAGGTGCTCCGGTTACCTACAGGTGCTCCGGTTTCCTACAGGTGCTCAGGTGCTCCGGTTTCCTACAGGTGCTCCGGTTTTCTATAGGTGCTCAGGTGCTCCGGTTTCCTACAGGTGCTCAGGTGCTCCGGTTACCTGCAGGTGCTCCGGTTTCCTACAGGTGCTCCGGTTTCCTATAGGTGCTCAGGTGCTCCGGTTTCCTACAGGTGCTCCGGTTACCTACAGGTGCTCCGGTTTCCCACAGGTGCTCCGGTTACCTACAGGTGCTCCAAGTTTCCCCTACCTCTATAAACATGTACAATGGCTCCCGTCTCTCTGGGGCCAGGACTGCCTTGATAAAAAGGTAAAATCTCAATGGGACCTGGTTAAAAAGGTGAATGAATGAGAATCTACTGGTCGTTACTTACATGTGGGTCAGGTAAAGAAGGATAAACTACCCACAATACTTTGCATAACGGCCGCATAATAAGCTGTGTAACAAGAGCTTCACTCTTGTTACAAAGAAGAAAAAAAATATTTTAAAAAGCAAACAAGGTTTGAAAAGAGATTAGTTGAAGCAAAAAGCTTAATTCCCTCTGGTCCAATACTTTGCGTTGACTTTAGAAGACCCATTTTTGACATTTCCCCTCTTCCCGGTGGTGAAAACGGCCCTACTGTCTGAGGTTGACGCAGTATTTCAATAAAAAAAAAACAATGCTGCAGCGAGAAAACATCTATAGTTCTGTTGTAGCTTTTAAAACAAAGATCTTCATATCGTGAAACCTGATCCACAGATTTACAGGTCTTTCATGTTGTGACGTCACATCAAACTTCAGTAAATTACTAGTTTCTAATTGCATATGTTTGTCGTGCCGCATTGTAAACTCTGGCAGACCAAAGCAGGCTGTAGTGACTCACATTTGGCTTGTCTCTGCAGTGACGATGGCCCCTCAGGCTCCCCTCTTGTCTGCTCCGTTCTACTGTTCCTAATCCCAAACTCACCTTCGGGACCTCCTACTCCCACTATTTCAGGACCAAAGCTACTGCGAACCGTCAACAAAAAGTGAGACTCATCATCACCTGCCTCTGGTCATATAATTACTATTCAGTCTTGTGCTAGTCAGGAGCCGATCTCCAAATGCCTCATTTTGACGCACAATAAAAGGCTTCCCATGACAACACAGGCGCAGAGACAAAAGCATGGACTAATCTTTCTGAAAGTCTTAGTTACACTGGTGAGGTGAGGGTGATAATGATAATAATTTGGGATTAAAACAGCCCATTACCCTGGGTTTTCCTGCCACAGGCCCAAAGCCGTAACAACAGCCCCAACTCGAAAGTCATTTTATTAGAACTGTTAGATCCACTGTCTCCTTCACTTTGTGTGCTAGTGCCTTTTTAGTAAGTTGTAAGGCTACTTTCAGGGCTGGGAAGTATTTTTCGGCTTTTTTAGCAAGAATAGTAAGGCGCTTTGTGTGACCTTTGTCTGTGAAATGCGCCATATGAATATACTTACTTACTTTTATTTTCCATCAATCCATTTTCCACTCCTTAATCCAGTACTGGTCTGCTGCAGGTGGTGAGCTTCAAGCAAAGTGGGGTTAGGTGTCTTGCCCAAAGACACAACTGAGCCACTGTCGCCCCCAGAAGATTGTAAGTATACCTGGAAAGAGGGGGCCGAATATAGGGACATTTTGGAAGAAAGTCTGCTTGAGTCAGCAAGAGCATTGAGGCTGGGGCAAAGATTCAACTTCCTGCTGGACATTGACCCTGAAGACAAAGCTAAATCTATAATGAATGTTTTAAAACAAACCATAATCATGTTTTGGAACGGCCCAGTCAAGATCCAGACATACATCCAGTAGAAGATCTGGGGAAAGACATCTTTGGGAGCACTGGGAGCGCTGGTCGGCTGGGGAAGTGGGGCCTCCTCTCTCCCTGGGTCCATTGTGGGGTCTGGCTCTCAGATCTGGGGCCTCATCTCTCCCCTGGGTCCTGTGGGGGTCTGGCTCTCAGATCTGGGGCCTCATCTCTCCCCTGGGTCCATTGTGGGGGTCTGGCTCTCAGATCTGGGCCTCCTCTCTGTCCTGGGTCCTGTGGGGTCTGGCTCTCAGATCTGGGGCCTCCTCTCTCCCCTGGGTCCTGTGGGGGTCTGGCTCTCAGATCTGGGGCCTCATCTCTCCCCTGGGTCCATTGTGGGGGTCTGGCTCTCAGATCTGGGCCTCCTCTCTGTCCTGGGTCCTGTGGGGTCTGGCTCTCAGATCTGGGGCCTCCTCTCTCCCCTGGGTCCTCTGGGGGTCTGGCTCTCAGATCTGGGGCCTCCTCTCTCCCCTGGGTCCTGTGGGGGTCTGGCTCTCAGATCTGGGGCCTCATCTCTCCCCTGGGTCCATTGTGGGGGTCTGGCTCTCAGATCTGGGCCTCCTCTCTGTCCTGGGTCCTGTGGGGTCTGGCTCTCAGATCTGGGGCCTCCTCTCTCCCCTGGGTCCTCTGGGGGTCTGGCTCTCAGATCTGGGGCCTCCTCTCTCCCCTGGGTCCTGTGGGGGTCTGGCTCTCAGATCTGGGGCCTCTTCTCTCCCCCGGGTCCTCTGGGGGTCTGGCTCTCAGGGGCTCCTCTCTCCCCTGGGTCCTGTTTCGTCCCCTGTGGCTGCAGGTGAATCTTTGCTCCTGGTGCAGACGGCTCCTTAGATGACGCTTCTTCAGCAGGTTACATCTGCACCCAGCCATTTTCATGGTTTCACCTACTTTATTATATCTGGTGTGTGTGTGTGTGTGTGTGTGTGTGTGTGTGTGTGTGTGTGTGTGTGTGTGTGTGTGTGTGTGTGTGTGTGTGTGTGTGTGAGATTTGGAGTGGGTTTGTTGTTGATGGGTCTTTCACCAAAATGTAACGCACATTTGTTCATATGAAAAGCAGTTAATGCATTAAATTGTATTGATTGAAAACTGCTGTTCTCTAACACTGTCCATCTAATTTGACAGAGCTTTAGTTGTTTTGTAAAGAGGAATGGACTAAACCTTGTTCATTCCTCTTTATTTACAAGTTGGAAAATCTTATGATCAAATCCCAAAAATACTTTCTGCTGTTATTGCAGAAAAAAGGGGTTCCACAAAGTATGAACTCATGCTGTATGAACACTTATCGGTTTTTGATTTTAAAAAATAAAATAAAGAAATCATATATCATTTTGCTTTCACTTCACTGTTGTCTGTAACTTTCAATAACAAGTTCAAAATCATGTTTTTGTATTTTGGGTCATTCCTTTCTTTTCTTCCTTAAGTCATTGAGTCGTCCTATTTTATTTTCTATTTTTACTCCAGACTGCCACATGAGAAACACCACCACCATCACATTTTCAAGACTTTTTTTAATGGACTTATTCATGAAAATAATATATTCAGACAAAAAAGGCATTAAGAATGTATAAATTAATTGCACAATACTATAGGCTTTACATTTTCAACAGCAGAGCACAGACAACATGGAGCTGTGGAAAACCGGCCTTCACCTCAGGCCGCTTCCAGAACCACTCTGTCGCCCACTGACACCGCCACGCCCACCTCAGGCCGCTTCCAGAACCACTCTGTCGCCCAATGACACTCCCACGCCCACCTCAGGCCGCTTCCAGAACCACTCTGTCGCCCACGCCCACCTCAGGCCGCTTCCAGAACCACTCTGTCGCCCACTCAGTTAAAGGGAATGCAAGAAGTATTCACATACTACATTACTGACACTCTGTTTTATGAGTATGTTTCTTTAAGACGACTTGTTTCAGTCTTAAAGCTGAGGTACCTGACTTCTTAGTTTGATATCAGGAATACCATTTTGTGAACCAATCAGACCTAAAACGAGTATGTACTACATGTCCTACTCTTAGAGGTCTAATAAAGTCCTTACAGCTGAAAACAGTCAAAACTGCGTTACATTTGACAATTTATTTTTGTATCCGCTTTCATTAAAAAATGTGTGTTGGCCTACTTTATGTGATTTTTGTTCACAAACCAAACCAGACCAACAAACTAGCAACAGAAATGAGGAGCTTGTCCTGCTCTCTGATTGGATAATCAGCTTGAAAACCGTAAAAAAATAAATATCAAAGTTACCAACTCAACTTACAGCATTTTACAGTAATTTCTGGGGGCACATTTAACATACGTTGACGTAATTGAAAATGAAAATTTCAAAATTCATAAATTCTATGCTTTTCACACATTTTCAGACCCTGTAGGAACCCTGAACAAACACAATATGAGCAGCTGTAACTATGCAGCAGTAAACAGAAAACTTTTCATTTCATCCCATGGTGTCATCTTGTTGTCGTGGCTCTAAATGAATCAGACGGTTAGACGAGCAACCGCTGTTGAAATTGGAAAACGCCCCTAATGCATCACCTCAAATGAGCTCTGATGGGCAAATAATGACGGCAGGAACACGAGAGCGCGGAGGTGAAAGTGGGTCATGGCGAGCAACAGACTCGACCGCACGGCCAGTTGGAAAGGACTAATATCAGTGAAACAATAGATAGTGTGGTTTTTATAATGGCATGCGGCCCATTAATATAAAAATGAGTTCTTCTCACGGTGAAACAGGTTTTGGTCCTCTCTCTCTCTCTGAGTTAGTTAATGTTGTAATCATGGAAACACTAGGTCGGCAGTATGAATTCATGAGCAATTGAACTGAAATTAAAGCTGGGATATCCAGATAAAAAAAAAAAAAAAAGAGTTTTCATAGTTGTTTACAGTGGTCTGAAAATGCCGTCTTCTTAATCCTAGAAAAATTGTAATCTTTTGTGAGCCCTGTGAGTCACTGTTTGATGCTTTTGGGCTCAGAACCGATTGGCTGAGGGAGGGGGGTCCTCTCTTTTAGACTTTTTCTGTCTGAAAAATCTGATTTGACAGAGGTATTTAAAAACTAGTGATAGAACCAAACAGCACTAGCCTGGCCTTATCCATCCGTACACTCCGCTCAATCATCATTTCACTGCATGTAACGTCTGGGTCTGGTCCCTGTGTGAGCGATTACAATCGGTTGAAGTTCGACCGACCAATCAGCGAGCGCGGAAGGCGGGTGTTGTAGTTAGTTGTGGGTGACGTCAAGAGTTTGCGTCGAACGAGAAGGTTGTAGTTTGGCAATGCCGAAAAGTGCGATAGTAAAGTAATCCGGTCTGGTTCTATCAAGAAATTGAAGCCAGAGCAAGAGGAATGTTTAGCAAATGTAATCGCTGGAAAAAATTGTGGCGCTACTCCCCACGGGCTCCGTTAGCGGCAAAGGAGATGGCTAGGCTAAATGCTAAATGCTAACAACTCACTCAAGCGCATTACCTGCGTCACGGTAAACTCAGATCCAATGGTTTCAATCTGCAAAAGGAGTTAACCCCTCCCACCTGTTAACGGAGCTCAATGGAGCAAATCCAGACCCTAGTACGAAATGTAATCTGTACTATGGTGTGGTACGGCCAGGCTAAAATGACAGTAAAGTGCAGGGAAATACACACCTAATAATGGCTGGACCTAATAGTCGAGAAAATACTGTAGTTCGAAGGATTGCATTTCTAACTTCCATTGTTGTGGTTTGAAAGTTAAGACACCCCAGCTTTAAATGTTTGCACTTTTCTATACCATAATGAGTTGAAGCTTTCAAAACTTATTTAAATAAATAAATAAACAAATCTTGTAACAGCTGTCCGAGGCTCTATAATGTGTCAGGTTTGTTGAGCAGGATTAAACAGATTTTGGTCATCAAGTTTAAACAAAAAAACAGTTACATAGAGTACGTTTAAATACATGGCAAAAGATGACAATGGAAAATAAAAATATAAAATGCACAGCAGAGATTTGACTGATATGTTTTTGAAAAGAAGAAAAGTTGTATTTTTAAACTGGGTGCTTAATGTTAGACAGAGAGAGTGTGAAAGTGTGTGAAAATATGGTTCTCCTGATATCGACTTTGGTGCCAGACGCAGAAAGGAGAACAGCGGACGCGTTAAAGCCTGAATTTGCCCATGTTTATTATTCTTGCTGAGAGTTTACAAAACCGACACGCTTTTCTTTGTTCAATAGAAAAATCTCAAAAACCTGGAGCTGTTTTAGAGCTGAGCACGGCAAGAATCCCGCTTCTTTTATGGAATAATGGATCAGAGACCGAAGCCGTTTCACAGGAAAGAATGATCAAATACACGGTGATAAATGCTTGAATTAAAGCAGTTTTTTGTCTTGATATTATACATATTATGCACATTTTAGGTATTCAAATTTGAGACTATTTACTTTGACGTTTTAAAATGTGAATATTGTCAGTAGAAATGATGAAAACAAGCATGAAGTGTGAAGAATGCTTTCCATCTGTTCTTCCCTAGGCTACCAAAAAGAGGGAGGAGTTGAGTTTTTCCCAAATTTGAAAATCACCACCTCAAAGACTGTAATTTCACTTGAAACCATGCCAAAACTAATTTGTAGGAAATACTTATTTACTTGTTTAAAAAAAAAAGCTAAATTGTGTGATGATATAGAGGCAAAATGACATCAGACTGAGACTGGACTGAGGTTTCTTATATTAGCGTGGATGGGTCAAAGAACACCTCCAGGTCTGGGACTGATGAGGGAACACTGTTGTAAACAAGGGTAAAAGCTCAGAAAATAAATATATTTTGCAGAATATGTCACCTTTAAATAAGTGCAGACCACAAAAATGGTCCATCGTCAAAGTCCGAAGAAATCCAAGGAAAACAGATTTAATTTCAGTCAATTAATATAAAATTATTTTGCCGTAATCGGAATCTGGGCAGGTGAGAATGGCTGGGTCTAACTGGTGCTTGCTTTGAAAAAAAATAAATAAAAATAATAATAAAATATAAAACCTTTAGTACGCTGTTTCTGGACACCACATAGAAATAATAGACACAAATACTATTAAAATGGCCACATGGCTGTATTTTGCCTGGACTATAGAATATGAAAAGGCCTTATGGGAGAGGAGACTTGTCCCTCCCTCCCTCCTCCATTCTCTTTGCTCACGGCGGCTGTCACGCTCACTCACGCTTCACCCCAGTCCTGTTAGAAAATGCAGGCACTGGTGTTGAGACACAGGCAAATAATGAAAACTCCACACTTTTTCCACGACTCAATCACTTAGGGGCAGAGGAGGCTTGAGAGGAGCGCACAAAGGCAAGCCTCCACCCGGGCAGAACAAATACATTCATAGGCTAAAGTCCTTGCATGAGCAGAGTAATTAAAATAAGGCCCTGGCTGATTAATCCCCCGGTCCACGAGGAGAAACAGAAAAAGGCCAAAATGCACCGTGAAGCTTTCGGGCTGAGACTGTGGATCCGGCCGTGGTCCAGGTCTGGATCTTTAAGGCTTCTTTGAAATAAGTCCCACATGTGTTTAGCTTGGTGCCAGACGGGCTCTAGGAAGAGTTGGGGTTTGGCGCCACCTAATGGAGAACAGGGCGATCTGCATTGGTCCGTTAAGGGAAATATCCACTCAAACAAAGAGACACATTTTCACACCATGTAAAGCTGGGGAACCTAACTTTTCACATGGTCTTAAATACAGCTTAAAACTTTTTAGATTTTATGAATGAATGTCCTTCCTTTGAAAAGCCCTTTATATCTTTTGTTGAACAATAAATCAGAGCAGAAGTTATTGTGATAGTAAGCATAATCACATAAATTAGGTATATTTTGATAATCAATTAGTTGGGTATTTATTCGTTTTATTAAAGGGATGGTCAGTAATTTGCACTCTTGGTGGTACAATTACAATCAGACTATTGTTACTAAGTTACTGATCACTGATGCAATCCACCTGCTGGGGTTTAGTTAGACACAGTACAAACACTGCATTACTTAGGACTTATTCCAACATGTGTGGTGCTACTTTCTGTTTGTGAATTTAGTTTAAAAAAAACAAAAACATAAGCCAAAACACTCTGAAAAGTTTATCTGAGATGATCCCTCGAGAACATCTTCATGGAGACTAATGTGTAACAGTTTTGGTCCAGGTCTGGTTTAAAAGCGGTTCATCAAATTAGTGAATCAAAAGTATTTCCATAAATTAATTACAAAATCTAAATGCTTTTACAGTGTCATAAAAGCGGGGCAGGAAATGTGTCTCTTTTCCTTCAGAACTCCTAACATTCGAACACACAACATCTAATTTGGGAGCCCCAGATAAAACAAGATACCCCCTCCTAAAAGTATAAAATATAATTAGAAATAAAAATAGCACGAGTGGACCGGAGCAAAGACTGTAAACATCTGCCCCCAAACTCCTCCTTGTTTGAGCAGCTTCACTCGTCCCCAGATCTGGCTCTACACACAGGCACACGGTCAGTCCAAAGGCCCCTGGACACACAGAGTTCAGTCTGGGCTCTTAAAGGTGCAGTCTGGGAGCCACAAGAGCAAACTCGCGCAGAATGTTCCGGGCCACGTCCACTTTGTTCTGTGCAATCATCAGCGCCCTTTTCACGTCCTCGAAGGAGTAGCCCTCACCCATCAGCTTGGCGATCTTGGCGTCCACGTTCTCCGCTTCCAGCCCGTGGGCTTTCCCTGAGTGGATGTGTCTGGGGAGGGGTTTGGGGGGCCGGGCGGGGGCCTGCAAACACTCCATGGACACTGCAGAGAGAGGGGGAGAGAGAAGGGAGGGACAGGGGGTTAGTTTATGCCGTTAGCTTCGCACAAAAGCCTCAGGGGAACCCTTGAAGGTCCCATTTTACGCTTATAGAAGATGAAGAATGCGGCTCGACTTTTTTCACAGGAATCTGCTTCTGAAATCCGCAACAAATCTGTTCATCTGCGACACTTCACTAAGACTGTTCCAGAACTACAGTTACCATGAAACTGGACTTACTCAAAAGCTGATCTGGAAACCACGATAAATGATCTTATTCCCACGATAAAAGACGCTGATGAGGAGCCTATCTGTAATTGCAGTGCTACTAACTCACCGTATACTTCTGTAAACTAAATAATTAGGATCTGATCCTGGATCAAGGACATAGGGATCTATGTGATGGATTGCAATTGTTGGAAAACGTTTCTCCTCAGGTCTGAAATGATTCTGTACCTGCAAAATGAAGTGTTTTCTTTGGAGAGCCTCACACTGAGTTAAGTGTGAGGCTACGTCACTGTGCAGAGGGAGGCTCACAGGCAGAGGAGCAGAGATCAGCTCATGTAACTGAGGTGACATCGCCTCTATGCAAGACATGGCTATAATCTCACAAGTTTTGAGTGTTGGATGGTGTATCACTCAAATTATGATTACACATGTGCAGAGGATGGACTGTAAAATGTGGCACCTTTCAACACCACAAGCTGGTGGGTTGACATGACTTGGCATTCAACTCGCATTCAAAACTGCGGTGGAAGCGTGCAGCTTGCACAGTGTCGGACCGTTTTGGGTAATGACCAAAATGACGAGATCGCAGATACAATTGTTTTATTTTTTTTATTTGACAGGGACATTTGCATAATAAATGCAAATGCAAATGTCCACCGGGCAGTACGGTGGCTGAGAGGATAGCACTCTCGCCTCTCAGCAAGAAGGTCCTGGGTTCAAATCCCGGTCGGACCAGGGCCTTTCTGAGGGAAGTTTGCATGTTCTCCCCGTGTCTGCGTAGGTTTCCTCCGGGTACTCCGGTTTCCCCTACCACTAAAAATATGTCCAATAGTTCTGGCATGCGCCTCCTGTACTGGCCCCGCTCCCGTCTCTGTGTGGAGTGAGAGACAAATTGCCCAAAATTAACAATTGTAAACCGCTTTGAGACTCAGATCTGCAGTGAAAAGGCGGTATATAAATAAAAACTTACTTACTATTGTGTTTTGCCTTTCGGCTCTGCTAATTCTTCACCACAACAGTCCAATAGACCAACAGATTGACAATGTCAATCTCACACGAGATACTTGAACTCCTCCACTTGAGGAAGAACCACCACTTTTCCGTCGAGCACCATGGCCTCAGATTTGGAGCTGATTCTCATCCCAGCCGCTTCACACTCGGCTGCAAACCGCCCCAGTGCATGTTGCAGGTCCTGGTCCGTTGGAGCCAACAGGACAACACTGTCCGCAAACAGCAGAGATGAAATCCTGTCGTCCCCGGTCTGTTGCAGAGGTTTTTGCCTCTGCAACAGACCGGGCAGCAGCACACTTGACGTGCCGATATTGGACAGCTACTCCAGTCCTTCCGCACCTGCCTGCATGGATCCCTCTGTGGGCTGGCCCGGCCGGGCCCCATGGGCAAAACCATAATATGGTGGGTTTTTGAATCACAATCAAATAATCATCTGGGATTACATTTTCATTTTCAGTATTTCTTTCAAAAATGTATATGGGATAAAAGTTCAGGTTTATTAAAGCCATGACTTTGGGCAAGTCTGGTTCAGTCTGAGACATTTTAGTTCGTGCTGCAGAGTTTAGAGCTCTCGACAGCATGTTTTATGTCGGCCCTCTGGGGGATCTATTAAATGTACACAAAGAATATATTCAATTAACAAAAGGCAACTTAAATTGTATATAGTGATATTTAATGACACAGTTGCATGGGGGTAAAAGTCAATAGCTGTCATATGCTCTATAATGTGGCCCAGACTATTCTCACTTGGATTCAAACCAAAACATAAAATGACATGCTATTAGCACTACTGACTTGAACCGCTCCGAGTGACAGTAAATACTTTCTAAATGCATCAAAAAGGACCAATGAACTAATCCATAACCTGAAGCCTTTGTTTGCAAAAGTCATCTCGTCATGTTCCCAGGCTGAAAGGATCCACACTACAATAGAAACACATTTTCTCTGCCCTTCCCTAATGATGAAGGCCAATTTCACTTTCAAAGGCTCAATCTTCTCGCAGACCTTTCATCTGAGGACTGAGATTAAATGTGACGGTAAAATTCATTCATTTGATCAATTCAGAGCGCTGTACAGTACACTACATTTGCTAAGTGTATAGTCCCCATGGCCAGGTCGTGGCGGTTAAGGACAGACGGAAAATATTTTAAAGTCATCTTATTCTAGTGGCTGATAAAGCTTTAGTCTGTTTTATTTTTTTAACATTTTAAATCACAATCTTTAATCGATTGACAAAGACATGTCATGCATCATTTGTGGTCATTAGAAATCATAATTATTTTACTTTGTATCCTTATAGTATCTAAAGAAATACGTAGAAATTAAATTAATTTAAATCACATTTATTTGTGTTTAGCCCTACATCAGATTGACAGTGACAGCAGGATGACCTCTCAGATTCAGATTCATTTATTTGCCATTTGCAGTAAAACCACATTGGAAAAACCCCCGTGTGCACCAGACGACACACACCAGAGCTCTTGCCACGGCGCCATCTTTACGGCGCCATGCGATAGTTTATTTTTATTTAATTTTTTTTGCTTTCCATATATGCTAATAAATGTCCATAGATGTCCTGGATTATCAAAAAAAAAATTAAACAAAAAAAAAATATTAGGAAGAAATGTGTGAGAAACCTCTGGGAGGGATCCGCTCCCACGGATAGGAAGGAACAATGACTGAGGCTGGGGTGTAGTGTGTAGTATTGTGCGTACCTTGAGTGCGTGCTGACTGCATCCTGAGTGTGTGGTGTGGTGCACGATTGTGTAATATTGTGCGTACCTTGGCTGGTGCCTAGCAGGTCGTGCTCTAGGCAGCCTCTGAAGCCTTTCATGTTGTCCCCATGTCGTCGGAGCGGAGGCAGAGGTGCAGCATTGTTCAGCATGTCATACACTGTGTCTGCACATCACAAGAGTGGAGCTTTGGTTAGCCGTCACTCACCACTGCACTTACTCCACACAGACAGAGGGAAACAGCTGTCCCACCATGAGAGAGCGGAGTGCACCGCTCAGCAGGGGACGACAGCAGGGGACGACAGCAGGGGACAACAGCAGGGGACAACAGCAGGGGACAACAGCAGGGGACAACAGCAGGGGACAACAGCAGGGGACGACAGCAGGGGACGACAGCAGGGGACGACAGCAGGGGACAACAGCAGGGGACGACAGCAGGGGACGACAGCAGGGGACGACAGCAGGGGACGACAGCAGGGGACAACAGCAGGGGACAACAGCAGGGGACAACAGCAGGGGACGACAGACGCAGGGGACAACAGCAGGGGACAACAGCAGGGGACAACAGCAGGGGACAACAGCAGGGGACAACAGCAGGGGACAACAGCAGGGGACAACAGCAGGGGACAACAGCAGGGGACGACAGCAGGGGACGACAGCAGGGGACAACAGCAGGGGACAACAGCAGGGGGACGACAGCAGGGGACAACAGCAGGGGACAACAGCAGGGGACGACAGCAGGGGACGACAGCAGGGGACAACAGCAGGGGACAACAGCAGGGGACGACAGCAGGGGACAACAGCAGGGGACAACAGCAGGGGACAACAGCAGGGGACAACAGCAGGGGACAACAGCAGGGGACAACAGCAGGGGACAACAGCAGGGGACAACAGCAGGGGACAACAGCAGGGGACAACAGCAGGGGACAACAGCAGGGGACGACAGCAGGGGACAACAGCAGGGGACAACAGCAGGGGACAACAGCAGGGGACAACAGCAGGGGACAACAGCAGGGGACAACAGCAGGGGACGACAGCAGGGGACAACAGCAGGGGACAACAGCAGGGGACAACAGCAGGGGACAACAGCAGGGGACAACAGCAGGGGACGACAGCAGGGGACGACAGCAGGGGACAACAGCAGGGGACAACAGCAGGGGACAGCAGGGACAGCAGGGGACAACAGCAGGGGACAACAGCAGGGGACGACAGCAGGGGACAACAGCAGGGGACGACAGCAGGGGACGACAGCAGGGGACGACAGCAGGGGACGACAGCAGGGGACAACAGCAGGGGACGACAGCAGGGGACGACAGCAGGGGACGACAGCAGGGGACGACAGCAGGGGACGACAGCAGGGGACAACAGCAGGGGACGACAGCAGGGGACAACAGCAGGGGACGACAGCAGGGGACAACAGCAGGGGACGACAGCAGGGGACGACAGCAGGGGACAACAGCAGGGGACGACAGCAGGGGACGACAGCAGGGGACGACAGCAGGGGACGACAGCAGGGGACGACAGCAGGGGACGACAGCAGGGGACGACAGCAGGGGACGACAGCAGGGGACAACAGCAGGGGACGACAGCAGGGGACGACAGCAGGGGACAACAGCAGGAGCAGGCTTTAGTGCTGTGCTGCTTTGTTGGCCACTAGTAACGGTTTGGCTTTGGTTTTGTTAAAATAGGGAAGAGTTGTAACATCTGAGAGTCATAATCATGTGTGTCCAAAATAGTGGCTGATTCTTTCATACCATGTGATTCAAAATGTTAAAATATTGGTCCTTATGATGTTTCCTTCCACTGGTTAATTTTTTTTATTGGCTTAATATACATTAAGTATATATACAGTGTATATGCTCCATCAGCAATGACATGGCCTTGGTCTTTCAAGCCTGGGACTTCAGGCAGAGTGGGGTTAAGCGTCTTACCCACGATGACAGTAGACATCAGTGGGAAAGGTGACAGGTGTAAGGCCGAACACCAAGGTTCTCCTAATGCCGCTTTCCACAGTAACGGCATGGCACGGCGCGGTTATTTTGCATTTCCACTACTGTTGGGCTAGAGAAAAGAGTACTTTTTTCGTACCACCTCGACAGTGGTTCCAGCCGAGCGGAAGCGTAACCATGACGTGACGTCGGCCGACTGCCTTACACTGATTGGTCAACGAGTGTTGTCATAGGAAGCGACGTCCGACCCTTTGGCAAAAACAACTCAACCGCCATCTTTAAAACCGGCTGCTCTGCTTCAATACATCCTCCTATGGATATATTTTAATAACTTTGTTTCATTCATTTGTCTGTACAAGTGCAGAAAAGGGGTTCAAAAGCAAAAGTTACGATTTCCTACCATATACTTTAACTTCTATTTACATTACATACATTATATTTGTCAGTAAATCCGTATAACCGTGGTACATTTATGAACGAGGATGGAGACATTTGCTAAATACAAAAAGGTTTTATTTTTGGTCAAAACAAGGGCAAATTAAATGTTTAGGCATATGTCAAAGTTATGCATCAGACCCTCTGCACCACTGCTACACAGCTGCTGTTGCTACAGGTGTCACATGGTCTCTCCATGGTTTTCACACAGATGGTGCAGAGCACAGTCAGCACCATTGACTTCACATGTTCAGTGTCCGAGTCATTCCTTTAACACTGCCCAAAGCATTTTCAACAACCACTCGCGCAGTGCTGAATTTTCTATTAGATACTTGCTGTTCGTCTGTCACTCTGTGTCCTGAAAAGGTTTTAGGAGCTAGTTCTGTGGGGGGTAAGAGGAGCCCCCGAGGAGATATAATAATAAATCCCTGCACCGCACCAATGTTACTAGTTAGATGTTGTGCGTAAATGTCGGTTTGACAATCCCTCCCGTGCTGAAGAGGTGCTATCTCTAATGGAAAAGCATCCGAACTCGGCCGTGCCATGCCGTATCGTACCGTTACTGTGGAAAAGCGGCTAAACTGAGTCAATGTCGCAACACCCATAAGTCCAAAGCTATAGATGCACATAAACCTGTATTCTAAAACATTCATTCATTCCACTGGTTGTTGTGAAGCGTGCATTAGTCACCTGGGGTCAGCAGCAGGTGCTCATGTCCGGAGCAGGGTCTGTGAGGTCGGCTCGGGGCAGACGATGAAGAGGAGTTACAGGACGATGAAGAGGATGACGACGAAGATGAGAGGTCCACAAAGCTGTGTCTGGCCGGAGGGGGGGGCGGAGGGGGCTGTGAGGGGGGGCGGCTGTTGAAAGGGTCTTCTAAAGCTGAAAAACAAACACACCTAATTTAACCACACTGAGTATGTTTACAAAGTATATGAATTATGAAAAGGCTGTTTGTAGAATATACATGTTTTGAGAATTTTACTTTAATAACAACACATACTCAATAATCCTTTGTACGACTGAGTACAAAGTGGCTTATCAGTACTAATACAAGGAGAACTCTTCAAGTTTTTACAGACAAAAACAAAGCAACAGATAATTGTGAAGTGAAAGAAAAATTATAGATTATTATTGTTATCAAAAAGCTCTTTACATCTAGACTGAAAGTTTTGCCCAAAATTCAAGTTGTATTAGGTCTTTTGCAAATCACGGCACGTAGTAAAACCAAGCCATTCCATCCACTACCAACCTCTATAAAGGCCGGTGGACAACATTACGTTAAGATAGTGCCTCATTATCAATCAAAAATAACACTGAAATGTGCATCCACACTAATTAGCCTGCATAATTAAACACACAGCTTATACATGGCCTCATTTTATGCCATATCAACATAGCAGTGAGAAATTAAAACAAATATGCACCAACAGACGACTGGCTGGTACAACACAAGATGGTGAACGGCTCTAAAGGCGCTGTGAGATTTCATAACACTTTGAAGCAACTTTTGTTAAAGTTAAACTCATCATTCTATCAATGTGCAGAAGCCAGTACTTTTCCCTTGTTGTGTCTATCTGAAGGCCAAGCTACAAGCACACTGTGGAAGCTGCTGATTGGAGGTCTCCATGCCTCCGCTCTGTATAATACACTTGCATTCTCTTGTATCTGTGATCGTGTGCTTTGTTCGTGCTGTCTCTACCATTGACAATAAAACATGTCTTCTGTCTGAATTTAAGACGCGATCCCAGACTTTGTCATCTTCTTCAGGTGGTGGAAGGATGCGGGCCTTGTCTGTAACATCTAGAGAACAGAAGACTTTTTTTTTTACACAAAAAGTGTTTTTTTTTAAGCCAAAACTGAAAAACCTCAAGAGAATGCATCTGGACCAGCACATGGACAATCTGCACAGCCCCTGATTCCACTCAGGCTGTGAGCTGCTGAGACATGGACAACACCAGCGTCCTCTTTTGCATGGACATCATTTGGAACAATTTGGACATAATTTGGACTGAATTGGATTTCTGAATCTGGACACTAAAGCAGAAACGTGTGATTGAAAGACACGTCACAGAAGAATTCATGGCTCGACACAAATGCAGCCTGAAGAAACCAACACGGAGAAGTGGGAGAGACTGTTTTCAAAGCAATATCTGGAACCACCATCGACTGATGAAGTTTGGTATTTTACTGAAGATTGTTGACAAGTTTTATGAAAGATCTGAACATGTTTTATGAGTTTTTGAAGTATTCCGAGTTATGAGTTTTTTGAAGTACCGAGTGAAGTACCGAGTTTATGAGTTTTTGAAGTATTGAGTTATGATGTTATGTTGCTGTTTATCGATCCTGATGGTCACACGTGAATGTATGACCAGAGGGGGGAATGTGAGATTTCATAACACTTTGAAGCAACTTTTGTTAAAGTTAAACTCATCATTCTATCAATGTGCAGAAGCCTGTACTTTTCCCTTGTTGTGTCTATCTGAAGGCCAAGCTACAAGCACACCGTGGAAGCTGCTGATTGGAGGTCTCCATGCCTCCGCTCTGTATAATACACTTGCATTCTCTTGTATCTGTGATCGTGTGCTTTGTTCGTGCTGTCTCTACCATTGACAATAAAACATGTCTTCTGTCTGAATTTAAGACGCGATCCCAGACTATGGCATCTTCTTCAGCGCGTTTCCCGATTTGGGTCAAGCAGAGTGTTGCGGTGCTACAAACAAACTGTCCGAGTCCATCAGAGTGAAATAAGCCCACTGCTGCCTGCGTGTAATTGCAATACAGGAAGTGACAGCCGGCTGAGAACGCTCTGTCCAGAAAACAATTGAGTGCACACGAGGAGCAAATGGAGAGGAGAAGAAGACGCGGGCTCTCCACGCCTCATCAGCGAGTTTTTACGGCGCTTTGACATGTTTTCCCAGCGTGGACAGGAGCGAGGACGGACAGGATATGGGCAGGGCGCTGGGTGTACCTGAAGGAGGCAGGAGGATGTCGTAATCACAGGGGATCTTGTTGGCGTTGAAGGCTGGCACACCTAAGGAAGACAAAAACACCTTATATGATGTGAAAAATGCGTAGACACTTAGCACTGATTACTGATGGAATCCACCTGCTGGGGTTTAGCTAGAAACTCTACAAACTTTTAGTATTACATGCAGCAATTTATTTTTGGCCGGCACGGTGGCTGAGAGGATAGCACTCTCTCGCCTCTCAGCAAGAAGGTCCTGGAATCCCGGTCGGAACAGGGCCTTTCTGAGTGGAGTTTGCATGTTCTCCCCGTGTCTGCGTAGATTTCATCCAGGTGCTCCGGTTTCCCCTACCACGAAAAACATGCACAGTAGGTTTTAATGTAAATGAGAGAGTGAATGGATGGTGTTGGAGTTGATGGTCCAGTGTGTTCTGGACTCGCTTCTGTCATTACCGTGTGTGGAAGGATTGGAACAATATTTGACTCTGAACATTGTAAAACGCTTTGGGTGACCTTGGTCTGTAAAATGTGCTATATACAGTGCCTTGCGAAAGTATTTGGCCCCCTTGAACCTTTCAACATTTTGCCACATTTCAGGCTTCAAACCTAAAGATATAAAAAAAAAAAGTTTTGTCAAGAATCAACATCAAGTGGGACACAATTGTGAAGTGGAACGATATGTATTGGATAATTTAAACTTTTTTAACAAATAAAAAACTGAAAAGTGGGGCGTGCAATATTATTCGGCCCCCTTGCCTTGCGCTAATACTTTGTAGCGCCACCTTTTGCTGCAATTACAGCTGCAAGTCGCTTGGGGTATGTCTCTATCAGTTTTGCACATCGAGAGACTGGAATTCTTGCCCATTCTTCCTTGCAAAACAGCTCGAGCTCAGTGAGGTTGGATGGAGAGCGTTTGTGAACAGCAGTCTTCAGCTCTTTCCACTGATTCTCGATTGGATTCAGGTCTGGACTTTGACTTGGCCATTCTAACACCTGGATACGTCTATTTGTGAACCATTCCATTGTAGATTTGGCTTTATGTTTTGGATCATTGTCCTGTTGGAAGATAAATGTCCGTCCCAGTCTCAGGTCTTTTGCAGACTCCAACAGGTTTTCTTCCAGAATGGTCCTGTATTTGGCTCCATCCATCTTCCCATCAATTTTAGCCATCTTCCCTGTCCCTGCTGAAGAAAAGCAGCCCCAAACCATGATGCTGCCACCACCATGTTTGACAGTGGGGATGGTGTGTTCAGGGTGATGAGCTGTGTTGCTTTTACGCCAAACATATCGTTTTGCATTGTGGCCAAAAAGTTTGATTTTGGTTTCATCTGACCAGAGCACCTTCTTCCACATGTTTGGTGTGTCTCCCAGGTGGCTTGTGGCAAACTTTAAATGAGACTTTTTATGGATATTTTTGAGAAATGGCTTTCTTCTTGCCACTCTTCCATAAAGGGCAGATTTGTGCAGTGCACGACTGATTGTTGTCCTATGGACAGACTCTCCCACCTCAGCTGTAGTTATCTGCAGTTCATCCAGAGTGATCATGGGCCTCTTGGCTGCATCTCTGATCAGTCTTCTCCTGGTTTGAGATGAAAGTTTGGAGGGACGGCCGGGTCTTGGTAGATTTGCAGTGGTCTGATACTCCTTCCATTTCAATTTCCTTGAGATGTTTAAAGCTTGGGAAATCTTTTTGTATCCAAATCCGGCTTTAAACTTCTCCACAACAGTATCTCGGACCTGCCTGGTGTGTTCCTTTGTCTTCATGGTTCTCTCTGCGCTTTAAACAGAACCCTGAGACTATCAAAGAGCAGGTGCATTTATACGGAGACTTGATTACACACAGGTGCATTCTATTTATCATCATCAGTCATTTAGGACAACATTGGATCATTCAAAGATCCTCACTGAACTTCTGGACTGAGTTTGCTGCACTGAAAGTAAAGGGGCCGAATAATATTGCACGCCCCACTTTTCAGTTTTTTATTTGTTAAAAAAGTTTAAATTATCCAATAAATTTCGTTTCACTTCACGATTGTGTCCCACTTGTTGTTGATTCATGACAAAAAATTAAAATGTTATATCTTTATGTTTGAAGCCTGAAATGTGGCGAAATGTTGAAAGGTTCAAGGGGGCGAATACTTTCGCAAGGCACTGTATATAAACATTACTTACTTACTATTTTTGTATCAGATTTCATTCAAAAAAAAAAAAAAAAGATTGGTGCCAATATTTTTGTTCTATACATGCACAGACGTTCACAGTCACGCACACACACATTACATTACACATACAGTGTGCAGTATCGTCTGGAGCTATAGCCCAAAAAAGTTAGGTATCACAGCTTTTAAAAGCAGCTTTATTTTCCAGATTAGAAAAATATCTCTTAAACAAATTTATTTCAGTTTGTGTGCTCTGCCCTCGGGTAATATCATAATGATTGACGGAAATATAATTGTCCAACATTTGACAGCCTTAAGCGAGACAAAAACAGATATGCTCCAAAGGTTCACATCCGAGAATAAGAAAAATCGCGTCTCTTCAGTTTTTAGAAGGTTCATGATGTACCTTTTCAGCTGTGTGGGAGTAGAACACTTACGTCATGCTTTGCATGAAATATTCTGCGGCTTAGTATTAAGGCGATCTATCATGCAAGTGTTTATACCCTGTCTTCCAATAGTGCCTTTCCCCAGATCTGACCTGATGGAGGGATGTGATTATCTCAGAGACTTTAAAGAAGCTATACCCGATTTATTTTCTAATGAGTTCATAAAAATGTGTATTACTACACACAAGTTGTATTATAATACGTAATTTAATTGAAAACTCGAGCTCATTGATTCAGCTGTGTATGAATTTAGGCCGTAAAAAGTGCTGAGTAGAGAGAGACCATAGACTGTAAAAATTAACGGACGTAGTCACGCCTATCTCCGCCGTTCTAACTAATGGGCCAAAAATAGTGCTCTACTGGAGCAATCCAAAATGGCCGCGAGTGGTCCCGCCCACAAGAAAATTGTGAAAAAACGCATCTGCGCCTGCGTCAGCCGGCGCAGCTCCATTCATTTGAACGAGAGACTTCAAAAATTCACAGCAAGAGACTTAGCGTGACGCCCGCTCTCTTCCACTCGAGGAGCGAACAGCCTGCGTCCTCTAGCCTCTACAGCGCTGGTGGTAAACACAGAAGCATATTAGCAAAAAGTGGCTACTTCCTCTGTCTGTAACTGCAGACACAGCAAAAAAGCCCAAACCACACAAATGTGAGGAAGAGAAGAGGGAAGCCAAAAAATGATCAAAGAAGAAATCAAGCCTGTGTGAACATACATAGCGTTAGCTTACCGTTAGCTTAACGTTAGCTTAAATGGTATCCTCTGGAGAGACCTGCGGGAGCGGGACCGGCTCGGACTATCTTTGCTCGGACTATCTCTGCTCGGACACAAAAGTAGCGGTAGTCTTTCAGTTATATATTGTGTTAGCAGTGCGTTGCTTTTGTACCATTTCATCAGTGATTGTTGTACAGCTTACAAGAAGTTGCGCTCATGCTAACGTTAGCATACGTATCAGATTGCAAATAAAACTAGATGGCTCCGTGGGATGAGAGCGTTGGGGAAATGAGAAGCCTGTGAGCGAGATCAGGGCGGGGCTAAACATTCAAACTGAGAAAAACCTGCACAAAACAGGTATAGCTCCTTTAAGACTAACGAGTGCTGACGTCACTCATGGTGCTTGCCTTATTGGGGGGAAACAAATAATTGGAGCTAACTCAAACAAGCTATTGCAGAAGGAATGTGGAGTCAAATTTAAGGATCACAACAGCAAACATGAGCAGCGCCGGTTCACACATTTGGGACTGAATTACATCTGGATTTTCACAGACTCGCTGAGAAAGGCTGAGTCTGACACGAGGGCTGTGCCATTTTGTCAAACCTTTATTTTCCAGTCGATGGCAATTGCGATTACATAAAGAAAATATATATTTACAAAAATTATGACTGTTTGAATAATACATTTCTATTTCAGTACCAAGATTGTTCAACAATAAACTTCTACTCTGCTTCATTACGCATTGCGTCTAGTGTGCAATGCGTGATAAAAGTGGGATTCATAATATTGTGATATAATTATTAATTATATCTATGTTTGGGTAAATTTGAATCTCTTCCCCTTTCCCTGGGGGGCATCATTGTCTACCTCCCTGAAGGACACCTCCTGTCCTGGTGGACCCCCCTCTAACTGGCCAATGGTGAGACATCTAGGTGATATACTAAGTCTAGGCTTTCAGTCTCCTTGCTCTCTCTGTCTCTGCATCAGACAACCAGCCTCTCTCTCCTAGTGGTATGAAAATGCTGTCCTTCCTCCGCTCTGATAAGACCTCTGCCTCCCTGCATTCGGCCCAAGAAGTGACAAAACTCTCACAGCTCCATTTTGAAACGCTCTCTTTCAAAGAAGTTTGCGTGGGAAGAACACCAGGTCCCTGCTCTCCAGGTTTGAGAGGACTCCATCAGCCTCCAGCTTCAACATGGAGATGGTGGACCACTGAAGGACCACATGATGCAACAAAGGACTGGTCTGCATCCATAGCCATCACGACCCAAGGACTCTGGTTTTATGATCCGCTCTGCTACACACAGTCGTTGGCTTATTTAAAACCTACAAGCTAAGAACACTTACTGCTAATTTACACATGAGGCGTTACAGCACGTACGCGTTATACGCGCAGCAGACGCGCGTAACTTTTTTCCATGTTAACCTATGATGATATTTACACTTCTAGCGTTATACACGCGTATGACGGACGTATGACGCGAAGCTGCGCTCTAATTTAGGATGGATTTCTAATTGTGTGCGCACCAACGTGTCTCCCATTGAAATCTCATGTAAAACATGATTTTTCTAGCGGTCCTTGGCTCTAGATCACATCTGCACACACACACACACACACACACACACACACACACACACACACACACACACACACACACACACACACACACACACACTGCACTTGTGTCTAAACATCAGCAGGAGCAGCAGGTTTTACAGTGATTCTGGACATAGTTTTTTTTTCTTTCATAAAGTCTGGCGTCTGGCCAAACCAGCGCACAGAGACCATGAAGACAAACACATGCATGTGATTTGTGTTGCTCTACATCAGTCCTCTGGCCCGTGCTGTCCTCTACACTGCTCCATAGACTACACAGGGAGAGCATCAGAAGACGGAGAGCATCAGAAGACGCAGACCTGCGCGCACGGCCTGTGTAGATACTCCAAAAAAATGTTACGCGCAGAGAGCGCGCAGTAAACGCGTACGCGCTGTTTACGCCTACTGTGTAAATTCCCTGTTAGTCTCTTACAAAGGTTGTGAGCCTCGGCCTTCCAATCCATTCATGGACAAAGACCTTGCGTTAGCCTCATCTCACCTTAGCCATTGCATTTTAACCATGTGTCTTACAATCAGCATTTCCTTCATGTTATTCTTGACAATTTGCACATTTCATCTACTCTGTATTGTATATACTGCATTAAATCTAAAAAACCATCTTTGTCTGAAAGTGATATTTGTGCTGATTTAACTCCAGAAATGTGTTTTGTAAAAGTATTCATACCTTCAGATTCTATTGAAAAGAATTGGACTAACTCGCTAATTAAATAATGAATTACTCATATGATTACTGAATAATTAAATGAAACAAGGAATAGATAACATGATGTCATACACACGTTATCAGTTGTGACTGATTCACTGGTCCCGAAATAAAGCCAATAATAATTATTGTATTTACTACATGATTGTTTTTGATCCAATTCTCCGATATCAAATAAATAACTTAATTTATGTGCAATATTGACTTCAATAACCCCTACAAACGTTATGTTGTAAGTCTCATTAAATGTCCTCTTTACATCCACCTGGTTTTGGCCTTTCTAAGACAGCAACAAACATACTGTCGTTATAACAATTAGTTAATCGCCTAACCCTAATGAGACGAGAGAAAGGGGAATGGAGCCACAGTGAGTTGGAGCAAAACTTCAGCTGAGCACTTTCCTGTTGGGCTTCATTGAGCTTGAGCAGGACAGGGTTAGCACTGTCCATCTACACACAGTCTATGGTTTACCTGCACTGTGGATCACGTCAGGCAATAAACAACTATACAGAAAAAAGAAGTTGGCCGTCACTTAACCACAGCACAATTATGGTTAATTATAAAAGTAAGACATGCTACAAAATCAGAATGCAGATTAAAACATTCGAACAAAGTAAACTATTGCAGTAGCAGGCTGTGAAGTGATGTTGGAGTAGGAGGAAAAACAAAATTGTGCTTCTGGACCTACCTGGATCTAAGCGGGCCGTCCTCTCTTCCACATGGGACTCAGGGGAACCATTCTCCAAGTGCCTGGAAACAGAGGTGAGTGAATTCAGAGAGTGAGAGAGGAGGAAGAGGAGGGAGAGGAGGAAGCAGCTGTGGACTCAGTCAGCATTAGGACTGGGCACCTTATAACGGTTCCAAGTGCAAATCGACTGAAAAAGGTGTATGCTGTACTTCTGTCAGGCTTAAGACAGAAGTACAGAAGAATGAGCAGCATCTGAAATCACAGGAGCGTAATGTGGCTCCAGATCAAATAAAAGCAAAACAAGAAGCTGTCTATGGATTATGATAAAAAAAAAAAAAAAAAAACCCCTCAAGGAACCAGCATCGAAAAGCTGCTATCAAAAGTATTCTATTCCCAGACTGATCAGCAAGGTTAGAGGAGGAGGAGGAGATGATGAAGAGATGAGGAGGAGGAGGTACCTGCTGGACACAGAAATGCAGATGGGAGGCTGGCTCAGACACAGGTTGGATGAGGGGATCTGGTAGTCGTCCTCCGGTCTGTCCGGTCTGTCTGTCTTGTCTGGTCTCTCTGTCCTGTCTGGTCTGTCTGTTCTCTCCGGTCTGTCTGGAGCTCCATGCTTTCTCTCGACCGCTGGGCTGCTGAAAGGGTTGGCCGATCTACACACACACACACACTCAACCTTTTAACAGGACACGCCACAAAATTGTAATATTTGTTTCTAAATGTTATAATGCAATATTGATTGTGTTTGTTGTATATTTATAATGAATACTTAACTTTACTGTCGCAACAGAAAGAGAGAAATGTTGTGAAGAGATCAGACCACAACATGCTGTCTTTATGAAACATTATGGTTTGCAAACTGAACAAGCCCTGAGAGTCCCTGATGCTTAGGGCAGAGGCAAGAGGCAAGAGACAGGAGACAGGAGACAGGAGACAGGGGACAGGAGACAGGAGACAGGGGACAGGAGACAGGGGACAGGAGACAGGAGACAGGAGACAGGAGACAGGAGACAGGAGACAGGGGACAGGAGACAGGAGACAGGAGACAGGAGACAGGGGACAGGAGACAGGAGACAGGAGACAGGAGACAGGAGACAGGAGACAGAGGCAGAGGCAGAGACAGAGACAGAGACAGAGACAGAGACAGAGACAGAGACAGAGGCAGAGGCAGAGGCAGAGACAGAGGCAGAGGCAGAGACAGAGACAGAGACAGAGACAGAGACAGAGGCAGAGGCAGAGGCAGAGACAGAGGCAGAGACAGAGACTGAGGCAGAGACAGAGACAGAGGCAGAGGCAGAGGCAGAGACAGAGGCAGAGGCAGAGGCACAGACAGAGGCAGAGACAGAGACAGAGACAGAGACAGAGACAGAGACAGAGGCAGAGGCAGAGGCAGAGACAGAGGCAGAGACAGAGACAGAGACTGAGGCAGAGACAGAGACAGAGGCAGAGGCAGAGGCAGAGACAGAGGCAGAGGCAGAGGCACAGACAGAGGCAGAGGCAGAGACAGAGGCAGAGGCAGAGGCAGAGGCAGAGGCAGAGGCAGAGGCAGGGACAGGGACAGGGACAGAGGCAGAGGCAGAGGCAGAGACAGAGGCAGAGACAGAGACTGAGGCAGAGACAGAGACAGAGGCAGAGGCAGAGGCAGAGGCAGAGACAGAGGCAGAGGCAGAGACAGAGGCAGAGGCAGAGATTGCGGCAGAGGCAGAGGCAGAGACAGAGACAGAGACAGAGACAGAGGCAGAGACAGAGACAGAGGCAGAGATTGCGGCAGAGGCAGAGGCAGAGACAGAGACAGAGACAGAGGCAGAGGCAGAGACAAGAGACAAGAGACAGAGAGACTGAAAGATTGAGAGACTGAGAGACTGAGAAAATGCTGATTTACAGATGTGACAGAGGCCATGTGAGAGAATGAGGAAGGAGTTGGATGCATTTCATTCTATAGTTCAATTTCATGTGTAATGTTTTTTGTTTTTTTCATGAAATCAGAAAACTAGAGAAAGTATTCACGCCAGTTAGCAGACTAATATCCCACAGAAACAATGCCTGGATCATTTTTTCTGATTAATTTAAAGCTGGAGTACGTAACTTTCAAAATGCAGAAAATGGAACTATGCAATAAAATACATCACCACCCTCACAGCCAATCGGCACAAAGTCTGATCTGTTCAGCATTTTACACGTCCCTTTCTGTCTGTACAAACGGCATGTATTTTTCAGGAAAAATTAAAGTTAAGAACCCAGCTTTAACGTTCCACGTTTAAAGCACTGACATTTCTCCATGACCTCTGACCTCTGACCTGCCTCTGGAGCTGCCCATTCAGTGTTAATAAAGCTCGGAGTGGACACTCTGCATGATCAGACAGAGAACATGTGGTTTTATTCGCAGGCTTCAGAGGTGCAAAGTACAGAAACTACAGTCAGTGGAGTGAATAATTGCAGGAGGCAGGAGAACAGACAGTGATAATTGCTTAGTTTGATGTAAAAGCTTCAGTGGAGACACATTTTCACCGTGTTCGGTCAATCCTTTGTGAAAATGTTTATATTTATGTTTAGTGAAGGGCATTAGTGCAGCAGAGCTTACGCTATTCTGCCTGGGGCCCAAATGATTTCTCCACATATTTCTTGATCCAAGGGAGAATTTGCATTAAAAAACAACATTGACAAATCCTGTTCGTGGCAAAGTCCCTTTGTACAATTTTCTTAAGTGTCCCCAGAAGAGAGTTTGTGACCGCCGCTGTGGCTCTTTGCCATCTATAAAAACACTGAGTGAAGGTGATCTATAAGTGCGGAGAACATCAGTCGTCACAACACGGAGACATGCTAAAGCAACACTGTTCCCTCGTCAGGAAACACACATGGAGCTGTTTTTAGTTCTACATCAGGAACTCCTGCCTCAAACATGAATGAGGGAGAGAGGATTGGATTAATGGAAGCATTTTGCTGTTCATGGGAATATATGCTAAAAATAAGTCTTTCCAATTCAAACAAGTAACTCTGCCCTTCTGTCTAAAAGCTCAGTCTCAGTTTCCCAAAAAATATCTTGTCAAACATAATCACAAAATCACATTTCTGTGTTTGCCATTTTCAAAAAAATAACCCAAACAACATTCTTCACCTCAATCTGGCCGTTGCATTGGGAGTTGGAAAGCAACCCTTCATACTGGTTTCAACATGCTACTTTTCTACTTCTATTTCACATTTTAAAACAAAGTAAAAGGTCCAAAACAATACATAATATTGAATCGTGTAAAAAATGTGTAACGTTTAACAGTTGATAATAGTTATAACAAATCAGTCCACATAGTTCATCTCTACCTTTCTAGCTTTAAAGATAGTTTTTGCCTGTTTTTCACCTCCTACAGACTTCCTCCTTCACAGCAAGAGATCCCCAAACACAATCAAAACATCGGCGGATTTCTTTATTAGCCAGTGCTAGACGTGCGACCCATGCACATAATCTCTGATATTAAATGCTCCGTGCTCTCTACACGGGAAAAGCGTGTCACTCACCGATCCCACACTACTTTACTGGAGTGAATTGTGTTGGGCGCTTGATGGCTTCCCCTGTGGGCTGGAGCTTCATCACCAGTGACAGCTCCAGCCCCGGCCAGCGCCACAGCCTGATACACACCACCAGCTAATCTCATTCAGGCCGCAGCTAAAAGGCTATTAGACGCGCAGCCATCAACTTCCGAAGCCGTTTCCAACCAGGACTTCCCCCCAAGGCTACGAGACTTCACCCGGAGAAAGTCTTTGTCAGAGGCCGCAATGGGAAGGAAGAGACGGATTGGATTTAAGGAGGAGGAGAGGAGGAGGATGCAAGATGGATGGGGAGATAGAGCCGGGCCAAGTGTTTTTTAGTTTTTTATACTTTTTTCCTTTAGAGTTCAAATAGTCATAATGGAATAGTTCAAAAAATTACAAGCACGATGATAATGCGAAAGAAAAGATTAAAAAAAAAATTATGATAATAATAATAACAACAAACAAAAAATAAATAAATAAATAATAATAATAATAAAATGTGTATATAAAAATGGAATAAAGAAAAAAATAGAAAAAATAAAATATAAACAAATGACGTAAAAGAAAAAAGCATATGTACACACACACACACATCCATATGCCACACACACATGAATGTAATTTCAAAACGTTCTAAGGGTCATTATTTCTTGATAGCAGTCTCTAAAACCAATAATGACCGCTGCCCTTTGGCAACGCACTCTGAGCTTGTAATTCAGGTGTAAAATACTACGGTTATTTCGCAAGTAGTCCGAACACTTCGTCACAACGAGCTTTCAGCGCCTGTCACTTCTACTGTCTCTGCAGAGAAGCAATCGGAGCTAGCCACGCTCAATAAACTCAAATAACAACCAATCAACAGATTTAAATGTTAATGTGAGAATACATTATACATATACATTCTTCAGGACCGCTTCACACTCGGCTGCAAACCGTCCCAGTGCATGCTGCAGGTCCTGGTTCGTTGAAGCCAACAGGACAACATCGTCCGCAAACAGCAGAGATGAAATCCTGTGGTCCCCGAACCGGACCCCGTCCGACCCCTGGGATGAGAATCAGCACCTCCAAATCCGAGGCCATGGTGCTCGACCGGAAAAAGGTGCCTTGCCCTCTGCAGGTGGGTGGAGAGGTCCTTCCTCAAGTGGAGGAGTTCAAGTATCTTGGGGTCTTGTTCACGAGTGAGGGAAGAATGGAGCGTGAGATTGACAGGCGGATCGGTGCAGCGTGCGCAGTGATGCGGTCGCTGTATCGGACCGTTGTGGTAAAGAGGGAGCAGCGTCTGCAGTCAGAGCTGTATCGGACCGTTGTGGTAAAGAGGGAGCTGAGCCGAAAGGCAAAGCTCTCGATTTACCGGTCAATCTTCGTCCCCTCCCTCACCTATGGTCATGAGCTTTGGGTAATGACCGAAAGAACGAGATCGCGGATACAAGCGGTCGAAATGAGCTTCCTCCGCAGAGTGGCTGGGCGCTCCCTTAGAGATAGGGTGAGGAGCTCAGTCACACTGGAGGAGCTCGGAGTAGAGCCGCTGCTTCTCCACGTCGAGAGGAACCAGTTGAGGTGGCTCGGGCATCTGTACAGGATGCCTCCTGGACGCCTCCCTGGGGAGGTGTTCCGGGCACGTCCCACCGGGAGGAGGCCCCGTGGAAGACCCAGGACACGCTGGAGGGACTACGTCTCTCAGCTGGCCTGGGAACGCCTTGGGGTCCCCCCGGATGAGCTGGAGGAGGTGTGTGTGGATAGGGAAGTCTGGGCGTCTCTGCTTAGACTGCTGCCCCCGCGACCCGGCAACGGATGAAGCGGAACAAAATGGATGGATGGATATACATTCTTAACACACGTGCACAGAGGTTTTTTTAGAAGGAATGCTAATGAAGAATTTAGCATTTTACTTTGGACTAGAGCAGAGAAAATGGTCTGAACCAAGCGGCTACTCCAGTTTGTGACCCGTCCTGCTCCACCGAGAGGCTGCTCCACCTCTGCTGCTGTGACCTGAGGGCCTGTGACTGATTAATACTATTAGTAGCTTTTTAGAATGATCAATTTCATTTTTACTGCTACTGGACACCTGAATTTCTCCAACGGGGCTTAATAAAGGATCTATCTATCTATCTATCTATCCCAGATGAATGTCATTTTCTTCAGTGGTGCATGAGTTTTATAAGCAGGCAGATTTCTATTGGCTGAATGATTATTGCTTATTTTGCCACTGGTTATATCACAGTCCAAACATTATAAAGGGGCTGGTTAATTCTGCAGGTTCTGTGCAGAGCTTAACAACAACAAAAAGCCACCCAAGACCAACAGTGAGAGAAACACCAACAGGGTTTGTGTTGACGTGTGGCATGCTCATACTCACTTGTGGCTGTTGGTGACGCAGGGCTGAGTTGGTGAGTGGCGCGCGGGGAGAATGTCGTATTCATCACTGACCTGCACGCCGTTGGTAAAAGGCTGCAATGGCACACAGCGCAAAGGAAGAGGAGTGAGAAAAAAGCAGAGCGTGAGGCAGGACTCTTGAGTTTTAGCTGTACAGATTTTATTGTGTGTTTTTTGCTTCCTCCTACAGCATAAATGTCTCCACAGATTTTACCTGCAAATTGGCTCAGGCACATATATAATTACATAAATACTTATAAAACGTATTCTTGGCAAGATCATGCTGTCCTGACAAAAACACATGAGAAGAAAACTTAATGTAAAAGTTTACTATTAGTGTATAATGTAAAGAAAATAAGATCCCAAGTGTAGAAGTTTAGGTTCAATGGACTATTATAGCAATGAACGAAGTATGGATGTAGGAACAAATGACACATGTGCATGAACAATACATTATTTTATCAACATTTAACATTTCTGGTTGTATTCTTGGGTTTCATATGACGTCAGGGCAGTGGCGCGAAAAACAAACGTAGGACAGGACGTGACGTATCCTGGCGGTGCAGTCTGCCGGGTTTATACACGGAGATATAGTAGAAGAAGAAGTGGTTTATACACGGAGATATAGTAGAAGAAGTGGTTTATACACGGAGATACAGTAGAAGAAGTGGTTTATACACGGAGATACAGTAGAAGAAGTGGTTTATACACGGAGATATAGTAGAAGAAGAGGTTTATACACGGAGATATAGTAGAAGAAGAAGAGGTTTATACACGGAGATATAGTAGAAGAAGAAGTGGTTTATACACAGAGATATAGTAGAAGAAGAAGAGGTTTATACACGGAGATATAGTAGAAGAAGAAGTGGTTTATACACAGAGATATAGTAGAAGAAGAAGTGGTTTATACACGGAGATATAGTAGAAGAAGAAGTGGTTTATACACGGAGATATAGTAGAAGAAGAAGTGGTTTATACACGGAGATATAGAACAAGAAGAAGCGCTGCCAAAGCCATCTTTTTGTGCGGTGAACGCTTGTAGCGACCGCACAAATAGAGAAAGACCAGAGTTTGTTCATGTTCCAACTGTGGTCTCAAATAAAGGAGGACACTTTGAAAAAATCACTGGAATGAGGCGGGCGAGGTGGATCAAGGCTTTCCCAGATAAGCGCCCCCTGCAGGCCACCCCAATGAAACACAGCAATGTATCCTGTTTTTTTTTTTTTTTTGAAATATTTTTTAGTACTCCCTTAGAATGGAGTGTCCCCGATTAAGACTATTCCAACAACCGTACACCGCACAGGAGGAGAGCCTTTTGACTCAGACACGATTTACATGGTGTTCAATGGGAGCAACACTGAGTTATCCACCTCTGCTCGTTCGCCCCCTACTGGCCAGTTTAATGAAACCCAAGAATACATGACTAAATGCGTTTGATTGGTACTTTTGCAGGCCACTATACCAAAGTAACAGACATAAACTTTGGACCATACTGTTCTCTTTAATTAAAACAGTACATAAATAAAACAGCTCTACCCCACGGCATAACGACACCCTCCCACTGTTAAAACTTTACAGGTACACAGCTGTCTTTGAAGGTACAAGTCGCTCTGAAGGAACAGCATGCAAAATAACAAATGAAATGGATGCGTATTTGCGAACGGGCCGATGCTCTCCCGGGGACGGCTGCGGTGATCAAAGAGCCCCCGGAGGCTTGGCGTGCTGGTGGGTTGTTTTGTGTGTCCTTTTCTAACTCCACAGCTGAGTGAGAGCAGAATTATGCAGATTATCGCACATTAGAGCCATTTCCATCGCAGTGAATGTGGCGCTCTCTCTGGGGGATTTCTGTTTGAGAACGGTCAGCATTTCTCTCTTTCATTACAAAGCCAAGATCATCATATTTATATTCAGTCTGCCAGTATTTACTTATTAGAAGAATAGCAGCAGGCTTGAATATGCTCAGTGCGTTTCATACCTTATCTGCAAAGTGGCTGTCGCACCAGATTTTATTCAGCCTTTTTTGTTTTGCCTCTGCCACAATTATGACAGTAAAGTATGTGTGAGTTATTAAATCAAGCCTGACATTACAATCCTTTGCGAATACATTCTAACAATACAAAACATGCTCATAAACAAGGCGCTATCTCACTTAGAGTGTAAACAAAGGAGATGAATGTGAACTCATTAGGGTTTGTGCAACACGAAACAAAAGCCAGTTTAATTATTTTGGGTGAGAAAAGAGAAAGGGTAATGTCGTTGTGAGCAATGCCCTGTCTGGCTTTAGAGCTTATTAAGGCCAATGAAAGCAGGCATTATTATTATAGAACATATGTTATTCCAATTCCAAAAACTGCTTATGCTGGCTGTGGGAGAGACATGATGCCAGCTTTGAACCCCAGTAGAAAACACCTTGGACACGTCCCATTAGGGGATTAGGAAGCAGCCCAGTTTTTCATACATCTTTCAGAAATGTACATACCCCATATGTTTTGTTCTGTAAGATATTAACACTAAAACCGCCTTCACAAAAGAATTCTAAAGCGTTGAATAAATGAGTAGAATTTAACAGCCTCGATAACTTCATAGGGAACAGATCTGTATCTTCTGTATCTTTATCGGTCTTGTGAATTAGGGAAAAACTGAAATACTGCTTTGAATGGCCCCTGTCTGTATTTTCAATAGAAAACGGACCCTCGGTATGTCAAATGTATTTGACGTGTTTTCTCTGTCTGTGTGTGTCTTCATCCTCTGTGTCCGTCTGAGTCGGGTGGATGGACTGCTCCTTACCATTCTATAATTTGTCCATGGTGATAACAAAAACAGAGATTAAACTAAGATGTTTTGACATATCTGTAATTAGAGCTGGGCGATAAAACGATATAGACACGTGTTCGATATCAATAGAAACTGGGGTTCGATAATTTAACTTCAATCCGTCAGAAAAAAATAGGACATAAAAACAGGAAGTAAAGCGAAGTCAGAAGCGCGCAGCATTCTGGGATATGTAGGCAGGGGCTTCTCGACCTATCACGGCCAAGCATGAACCTGTTACGTCCGTGGATCTAAAGTTGTCGTGCTTCAATGCCGTGTCAATGCACGTCCGTACGAGGCATGTGCGGCGCGGTAGAGGCAGTGGGTACAGAGACTCGATGCATGCGGCAAAAGCAAGAGACTATCTTTTTACTCTGGAAACACGTGCGGCTATCAGAGAGACGCACAGAGCTGTCACGGGGACACGAGCGTGCAGCCAGAGACACTGAAAACACTCGAAACTGGGACCAGTCAATGGAAGAAACTGTGCTGTGAACATATGCCTCCAGCCTGAGATGTCATTCCATCCATCCATCCATTTTTTTCCCCTTATTCCATTTCTGGGTCAGGGGGGTGGCCAGAGATGCCACCTAGTCCACATAACCCCAGCCCCTCACTGATCCTCCTGCAGGTGGTGAGTCCACAGGAGGATGGCAGCTCTATGGCATAGCCTTGGTTTTTCAGTGGGGGCTTCAGGCAAAGTGGGGTTAAGTGTCTTGCCCAAGGACACAACGACAGAAGACATCAGTGTGAGTCGGTGGAGAAGGTCTCTTGGTGTGCTTGAACCTACAACCTTCAGGCTCAAGGCCAATGCTCTACCAACTGAGCCACTGTCGCCCTGAGTTGTCTTTCCCGAGCGACTAAATATATGCTGCTAACGTGTGTTAGCGACATCACAAATGTGTTTATCAAGGTTAAAAAAACCGATTGATAATTATTGATATCAACCGATATGAATCACTTATATTGTGATATAGTTTTCAGCCATATCGCCCAGCCCTATCTGTAATCGGTTTTACACAACCAGTGGGTTTGGGCCCGAATAGAAGCTGTTTGATACCTTTGTGATGTCAGCGCAGGCCTCTCTGTGCTGGCTGCGCGTGGAGCCTATAGACGGGCAGCTCTCGGGGCGTCTGTGGAGGTGGGGGCAGCTGCTTAGCCCCAGCTGGGCTGGGTGCTCTGTGGCAGGGGCGCGGCTGCAGTCTGACAGGCGCAGCTCTTTGTGACTCCAGGACTCTGGGGAGAGGTGCGAGTCGGGCAGGGCACTGGTGGAAGAGGAGATGGAGGAGGAGAGGGGCGCCGACAGCCAGGACAGACGTGACTCCGGCGGGACAGGGGGAGGCCGCTCGGGGGGAGGAGGTGGTGGGGGCTCTCTCTGCGGGGGAGGGGGCGCAGGTAGAGGCTTGTCTTGCTTCCGGGACATACCTGGAGAGGACTGAGGACAGAAGACAGCGGGATTGATGCACATGAAGATTTACAATAATGCAGACATCGAACGTCTTATAGGTTGGATTTATGTGACATCACAACAAGAGCCTATAGTTTAACTTGGCGTAGAGGGCAGCCAAAAAACCTCTCTTAGTAACTATGGTAAAGCCTAGTGTCCTTACGGAGGTGACGTGACGTCACTCGCGCAACGCGTGGATCCCCGCAAGGCCCTTACGTCGCCTGCCGCGCACCCTCGAAAATGTCTAACTACGTAAGGGTCGCCGCAGACAAGCTCCGCTGTGATTGGTCCGTGTGTGTGTATTGGAAGGAAGCATAGAGTGGCTGCAGGAGCATGGACGAGGCACTCGGAGCAGAATGCATCGAAGGAACCAAAGGAAAAGCAGTTTGGGCTCATGGCAGAGCCTGATATACAGGAGACTGTGGACGGTTCAGTTCTGTTGGATTTCTAACATATATATAACATATATATAACTTATAAACTGTGCAGTTGTTTGTTTTGCACTGTTCCTGTCTTTGTCTGAATCGTAGTTTATCGCGTCTGTTCCATTCCTCCTGCACTTTTAAATTGCTCATGTTTGTCTCAGATATTTACCACTTATTGATTTGCCGTTTGTGCTGAATACAATTTAATAATAACTATGTTCCCAACAATAAGTGTGTCTTTATTCACAACATCACAGTTAGATGAGTTGAAACAATGAGTTTAGAACTGTCACAGAAACCTACAGTAGAAACACATGTAATGATCTCAAACAGCTTCTCTTTTGTTTTTGTTCTGAAGAGGAGAAAGTAGCAGCGTAAAAGGGACCGCTTTGGTTTCCCAGGCAACTCCTGTGAGATCGCCATCACGTGGTTGGTTGTGGGATTACAACATTCTCTTCAAAACTCCGAAAGGGGAACGCGCTACTGTACCACCAACTGTGGTTACGTAGGTCCAACGTAACCGCAACCGTAACCAGCGCCGCGCGAGTGTACACAGGCCTTAACAGTCAAAAGTCATGTCCTAGTCTTAGTTTAGAGCTTATATACATATATACAGTATATATTTACCACATTACGGTAAGAAAACAGAACATTCAAACTCACGCTGTTGATATACGGTATTCTGTCGATTGTTTTGCACATTTTTTTGATGCTTGTCCCCTGAATAGGTTTTGAGCATGTGTTGCAGATTCTGCCTGTTCTGATTACTGTCAGTGTGAAGAAAGTTACGTATTGTTTATGTTTGAAATAATCTAATTCAAAACATCTATGTACAGGTGAAAATATGATGAATTAACTATTTCTGAGCAATTGAATGATTGAAATAAAAAATGGAAATGCAACTTATGTTACACAATATTACACTATCTTTTAATGACAAATACTTCGTAAACACGTTTTCATTTGAATCTGCCGTCATTATATAATTATCTCAGTCATAAATCCTCTTCTCAGGATGTTTAGGTCTATGAAAGGTTAAAATAAACCTATTGATTAACTGGTTCCAATCCTAATTTCGGTTTACCCAACAATTGACCTTAAGCACTGTGACACAAAAACAACAACACCATTCTAAAATTAAAACCATGGAAAGCTTGTAGAGCGTGGTTTGCCCTTGTAGCTGAGTCACTCATGGGTAAAAATCACACTCTTCACTGTTGCTGCCCTTTTTTGGTTTCACTCTTGCTTAAACGCCTTCCTTCTTCCCTTTAGCTGGGCTTGGTGCATTTGTTTGGCTGACCTTGGGTGAGGCCGTGGGGCTGGCTGAGGGGGATCGGATGCCCTTCTGGATCAGGTCCAGGCGCGGAGGGACCGGAGGCAGGCCCAGGTGCTGGATGCAGTGAGAGGTCTCTGTGACGTGGGGCTTTCTGTGCTGGATCAGGGGGGAGGAGCTGGGGGACACCATGGGGGAGTTCTGGCGCTCCGGGCAGTGCTGTGTGGGACACATCCAGATTTACTATTAAGAGTAAAACTATACACGGTTAATTTGTTTGCTTTCAAACTGTGAATACAGCTGTTGTATTCCTGTTACTGAATTAGCATGCAATGTATGTTTGAAAATAATGATTACTATTTTTAACTTTTGGACCCCAGTTAAATTGAAACCCCTGCTCTAAAAGTCCATAGCGCTCAAACCTTTCTGATATTCGCCAGCCCGTTCATGACCAGGCACTCGTCCCGGTCCTCTTCCTCGTCCAGCTCCAGCATGGGGCAGCTGTGGCGGTCCAGGAAGAAGCACTTGTTGCCCTCGTTCCGGGGGTCGAAAGGGTCCACAATGATGGGCTCCGTGCCTTTGATCTCACAGCGGCAGAACGGACAACCCTGACCGTCCGACTCCTGTGGGAAACGAGGGAAAGTGTAAATATCTTCTCAGTGTTGGAAACACTAGTCCAGTTGAGCCCAATAAATGTCCATTCCAAAACTTTTCAAATGGTATTTCCAAAATAAGATCTTTTGTAAGTTAGAAATAAGATTTTTCTTGCTATTAGTTACTGAATAACAAATAATATTTTATGTATATAAAAAGTTTTGTTTTTTTGTTGCTCTTGTGTGTGTATTTTACAAACATTAACATTTATCAAATTATTTTTGGTTCTGATAAAGTACAAAAACAATAAGTTCCTTGATACCAGTTGGCCCTTTATGGTATTGAATGGTTGTGAATTTGAATCAGTGAAGGGAGATCTATTGTATGTTCAGAAAAATCCATTCTGATACTGCAGCTTCTATAATATTGCAGCAACGATACCATCTCCAGAGTCAAATATGGGAGTGGCAGTATCATGCTGTATGGCTGCTTATCTTTGACAGGGAGAAGGAAAACTGCCATCAAAAAAAGCACTCATCATTCAGCCAACTTCAGCTCCATCAAGTAAATTATGTCTTCGTCATAGCTCATAGCTGTTAAGCACTATACCCAAATCCAGCTGATGATTATAACTTTTACATTGGGCTTTCCATCGATTAATGCATGTAACAAACCACATGCTGCCTGCTGATTCCTTTAGCGCCTAAACAGCAGTATTTGAATGTATAAAAAACCTGTATACAATACATTTTTACACCCAATTAAAATTAAAAGGATTGCTTGATTTCTCGCGAGCAAGAAAGAAACTAATGTAAAAAAGTATATTTTATTGAAATATGAATCGATTTGCGATCCAAAGTACTTATACTTGTGGTCATAACTTGACATAAGTTCAAGCTGTATCAACACTTTTGCACATGCGCTGTACATTCACACACATGGACAACCTCCTGGCAGCCGCGTCACACTGGGGTCATAGATCAAAGAATAAAAGATGCTGGTTTGAGTGCATCTCCAACGTTTACAGTGTCTCTGATCAAAGACAGACTGTGTTTGGGGAGAACAAAGCAGCGTCTGTGGCAGACATATGGACCGGGACGCCGCAGTGGACACACCAAAGCCATGTTTGAAACTTAACCCTAATTGAAGTGGGAGGAACGGGGAAAGAGTAGGAGGTTAAAACAAAAGCTAAACGGTGGGGAAGACAGTCCAGTTACCAATAAATACCAGTACAGCCAATGATGAAGACAAATGTGATGCAGAAATGTGAAAAATACTGAAATATTGGTATTTAGTCCTGGCAGAGCTAATGATAAAATGCTGTTTCCATTTCTTAATTCAAATATGCAGTTAAGAGACACGATCTCGAAGGGTTAGGAACAGTACATTTGGTTGAGGTTAGCATATTGGGAATAAAAAACAACAATTATAATGATCTCTTTTAATATGTATGTTGAGTAATTATTTAGAAGCGAAGCAGGACAGGGCTTGGTCAGTGATGGGAGACCTCTGGGAACATCAGGCACCGCAGTGGGACGGCTGCAACTCTCCAAAACTGTTGTTGTGTGAGAGTTGAGAGGTGAGACACTGCAGCCACAGAGCCTAGAGTGAGTCTGGGGTGTGTGAGGACTGGCGGTGGTCAGAGAGGTCGATGATATAACATATTTTTAGTATAAGTCACTGACCTTTAGCTATTGGGTTTTTAATGGATATAAAAACGCATACATTTAAATACGGCTGCTTGTACTGTATATATTGTAATGCACCCAGTGGGGATCCATATAATAACAATAAACTGACATGTGGTTTGTCTCCTGCATTATTCTAAGTAAATGGAAAGCTCAAATCTAACTTCTACATACAGTAGTTAAACAAGTTAAAGCTCAAATCTAACTTCTACAGTAGTTAAACAAGTTAAAGCTGGGTTTGGATCTAACCTTCAAAACAAAGTGAAACGATATAATACAGTCTAACTAAAACCGTTTTCCACGTGCATGTATTTGTGCCCTCTGCCAAATCAAGAGAAGTTTAACAAAGCAAGGACCAGCCTAAATCAGCTCTCCAGCTCTCAGCCCGAAGCATCAAATAGTGACTCACTGGGATGTTTCTTTCCTCAGACCTGTGTGTGGAAAGCAGCTGTACCAAACTTATTTTAGTTCATAAATAATCCAAGTGTTAGGTTCCGACAGAAAGAGTCTAGCAGAAGTAAAATGTCGTCACTTTTGCACTTTTCTGTAGTGAAAAATAAGATCTAAATAAATTTTTTCTGCTATTGCTTATTTGGAAAACAGTTGAAAACATGAGAAATACCAAACCAACCCATGTGTGAATCACAGTGAAACAGTTGCTTGGAAATAACACACTCATTTCCAAAAGCAGGGATTCCTTGTGGTGCGCCTCCATTACGGGGCCCCTGAAACAAGTGACAAAACCACCAGGCCGCTTCGAGCCAGGAGTCATCCGCCCGACGAAGACCCAAGGGTGGGCAGAGGTTATGGCGATGGTTACTCACTGTCACAACATGGAGGAGGGTTCCCTTTTATTCTGACTCATTTGGAGGAAAATACTTGAAGTTGCAGTGGGGCCGACATCACTCAGCAGAGAGGAGGGGGGAGATGGGGGAGATGGGGGAGAAGGCCAGTTGTCATAACAGGAAGCATGACAAACAAACAAGCCATGATGCGAGTGCTCCTGCTGTGTACGCTGGAAGAACTGTTCTCCAATAGAAAGCCCCTTTTCAAAACATTAAGTACGTAATCTACATAAACAATACGGTTTCCTTTCACAACACCCAAAAAAAATCCCTCTTTGAAGAACGCAGCATTAAATTGATTCTAACTTTAATACTTTTACGTCACATATTCAAACATATTATATTCAAGATTTCCTTTTCTTTTCCTCACCCTTTTTTCACTCTTATAGTGCAAACACAACTAGAACAGAACAGAATAAACAAACATTTTAGATGAATCAAATTTTTTTTTTAACTTTACATCAAAAATTTCTTGTTTTTTTTTAAGTCGTTCCTTGTTGATGCCGGACTGGTCTTAAGACTGTGAGGATCCAGGTGCTAAACTGCCGGTGCAAAGTGAAATAGCATGTTCAATCTTACTGGTTTAGGGCATGATAAATCAGTCAGCTCCAGTTTTAATGGATGATAATCACTTTTGTAGCTGGACAAGCTTCAGAAACAAGGCCCACTGAGTGCAGACCTCCACCAAGAGTCACAATAAAAGCCTGTAAATTATTCTGTGGATTCCTTATTTTGTTTCAATTACAAGTTATTTAAACTAAAAAAATTATATTCAAACTCTGCATTTCATATGTTTAATCCGTATTTTATATAAATAATGAAACATTTTCAGATTTTATGCCTAAATAGTCATTTTCTATTCATTTTGAAAGAGCATTTTTCTGTTGGACTTCATTGAGCTTGAGGGTAATCATTGTAGATCTATACCCAGTGTATGCATCTGGAGCTTTGAGAGGGTGGGGCTGTGGAGCTCAATAACTTTGGTCCGTGTGTTGGGCTTGGTCCAAGTCTAAGGTTTAGCCAATCAATAGCAGTGGACTCAGGGAGCACCATGCGATACGTCTGGGTGGCAGGTCTGTAACGGGACTCATCGGAGAGAGATGCAGATGTCCCGAGCCAAATAAATATGAACGCCTGGATTAAATGCTTATATCTTGAGGGGGAGATAACTACCCACGCACTGGGCTGGCTGTAAATGGTTATTATGTGTGTCTGTTATAACATGGCTGTAAATGGTTATAGTGTGTGTCTGTTATGACATGTATGTAAATGGTTATAGTGTGTGTCTGTTATAACATGTATGTAAATGGTTAAAGTGTGTGTCTGTTATAACATGTATGTAAATGGTTAGAGTGTGTGTCTGTTATAACATGTATGTCAATGGTTAAAGTGTGTGTCTGTTATAACATGTATGTAAATGGTTATAGTGTGTGTCTGTTATAACATGTATGTAAATGGTTAAAGTGTGTGTCTGTTATGACATGTATGTAAATGGTTATAGTGTGTGTCTGTTATAACAAGCCTGTAAATGGTTATAGTGTGTGTCTGTTATAACATGTATGTAAATGGTTAAAGTGTGTGTCTGTTATGACATGTATGTAAATGGTTAAAGTGTGTGTCCGTTATAACATGTATGCAAATGGTTATAGTGTGTGTCTGTTATAACATGTATGTAAATGGTTAGAGTGTGTGTCTGTTATAACATGTATGTCAATGGTTAAAGTGTGTGTCTGTTATAACATGTATGTAAATGGTTAAAGTGTGTGTCTGTTATGACATGTATGTAAATGGTTAAAGTGTGTGTCTGTTATAACATGTATGTAAATGGTTAAAGTGTGTGTCTGTTATAACATGTATGTAAATGGTTAGAGTGTGTGTCTGTTATAACATGTATGTCAATGGTTAAAGTGTGTGTCTGTTATAACATGTATGTAAATGGTTATAGTGTGTGTCTGTTATAACATGTATGTAAATGGTTATAGTGTGTGTCTGTTATAACATGTATGTAAATGGTTAAAGTGTGTGTCTGTTATGACATGTATGTAAATGGTTAAAGTGTGTGTCTGTTATAACATGTATGTAAATGGTTAAAGTGTGTGTCTGTAATAACATGTATGTAAATGGTTAAAGTGTGTGTCTGTTATAACATGTATGTAAATGGTTATAGTGTGTGTCTGTTATAACATGTATGTAAATGGTTAGAGTGTGTGTCTGTTATAACATGTATGTCAATGGTTAAAGTGTGTGTCTGTTATAACATGTATGTAAATGGTTAAAGTGTGTGTCTGTTATAACATGTATGTAAATGGTTAAAGTGTGTGTCTGTTATAACATGTATGTAAATGGTTATAGTGTGTGTCTGTTATAACAAGCCTGTAAATGGTTATAGTGTGTGTCTGTTATAACATGTATGTAAATGGTTAAAGTGTGTGTCTGTTATGACATGTATGTAAATGGTTAAAGTGTGTGTCTGTTATAACATGTATGTAAATGGTTAAAGTGTGTGTCTGTTATAACATGTATGTAAATGGTTAGAGTGTGTGTCTGTTATAACATGTATGTCAATGGTTAAAGTGTGTGTCTGTTATAACATGTATGTAAATGGTTATAGTGTGTGTCTGTTATAACATGTATGTAAATGGTTATAGTGTGTGTCTGTTATAACATGTATGTAAATGGTTAAAGTGTGTGTCTGTTATGACATGTATGTAAATGGTTAAAGTGTGTGTCTGTTATAACATGTATGTAAATGGTTAAAGTGTGTGTCTGTAATAACATGTATGTAAATGGTTAAAGTGTGTGTCTGTTATAACATGTATGTAAATGGTTATAGTGTGTGTCTGTTATAACATGTATGTAAATGGTTATAGTGTGTGTCTGTAATAACATGTATGTAAATGGTTAAAGTGTGTGTCTGTTATAACATGGCTATAAATGGTTAAAGTGTGTGTCTGTAAAAACATGTATGTAAATGGTTATAGTGTGTGTCTGTTATAACATGGCTGTAAATGGTTAAAGTGTGTGTCTGTTATAACACGGCTGTAAATGGTTAAAGTGTGTGTCTGTTATAACACGGCTGTAAATGGTTAAAGTGTGTGTCTGTTATAACACGGCTGTAAATGGTTAAAGTGTGTGTCTGTTATAACATGTATGTAAATGGTTATAGTGTGTGTCTCTTATAACACGGCTGTAAATGGTTAAAGTGTGTGTCTGTTATAACATGTATGTAAATGGTTATAGTGTGTGTCTCTTATAACACGGCTGTAAATGGTTAAAGTGGCTGCTGCGGCGCACAGCGACACGAGCCCGACCGCATGTGTAAGTGTAGCCCTCGCTGAAAACACAGTGGAGTACATGTGCACTCTCAGTTTTCACTTCCGCTCCTGACTGAAGTGGAAATGTGATTAGGACAGATGCAAGGACACAGCAGGAAGCGAGGGAGGAGGCTTTAGCTTCTGCCTCAGAGCTTCAAGGATGTTTCCATTATTTAGGCCCTGATTCACTCCTGTACTTATTTTTCACAATCAAACACATTTCTTTTATGCATGACGAAC